TATTTATAGACTATGTATATATAATTTATTTATATGCAATTTATTTATAATTCAATTTATTTGTCATGCAAAAGCACGACAGCGCCAATTTGCACGCAGCAATGTCCCACAAACAGCCATGATGTGAATGCTACCGATTTTATTTGGGGGATTGTGGCCCAAGCCATCGGCAGAATCTCCCTTCTCTTTTCGAGTAGGTCCACGGGATCTTCAATGTGCAGATGGGACCTGAGTTCAGCGTCTATCCCAAGCTGAGCTGAAATGGTAATCATTTATCTCGCTACACGGTGACATTGGAGCCACTTGACCTCTCCTCTGGCAGTAAATTCTCCAATTGGTTATCAACCAAATCTTTCGAGGCTTCAGAGAGAGTAAACCGGCACGAGAGCGGGGGGAGGCAAATGTGACAGCAGAGGCGGAGGGCGGAAAGAGGGAGGGGAGAGGGAGGGAGGGGAGAGTATGAGAGCAGGGGGGAGAGGAGAGGGGCTTCACTCTTCAGTGTCAAAGTGAACAGCACAGCACTCCAAAGCATGGTGAAAGAGGAAGGTCTTCAAACGGGCCTTGAAGGAGGCAAGAGAGGGGGTGAGGCAGAGGGACTGTGGAATGGAGTTCCAGGGAGTAGGGACAGAAAAGCTGAAGGCATGACTGATGATGATGGGGGCTGGCAGGGCGGGGGACATGAAGCAGGCCAATGCCCACCGAGCGGAGAAACTGTACACGTCGGTAAGGTGTTAATGGGACCTAGGGATAGGGAGGAGTAAGACCGTGGAGGGCTTAAAAAGTGATGACAAGGATTTTAAACACAATCCTCTGGGGATTGTGGAGCCAGTGGAGCCAGATGTTGATGGAAGAGTGATCGGTTCACGGAATCAAGCTAGGAACCACCATCACTCCCCCTACTACTCCCCTTGCTAGATCCTCACCACTCAAACCTGGCCTCTTGCCCTCTGCAGATACCCAACCTTCCACCATCGCCCTGCCAACCAGAACCCCAGCAGCACAAAGTATGTCCCTTGGAGTATGTTTTCAATCCCAGTTCATCCTGACAGCCTCCAATACTGGTCTCAAGCACTTAGCTAGTCCTTTCTTTCTGAAGGAGTTAATGGATGCAAGATCCTTTTCAACCGCTCTTCAACTCTTTCAGTTTGCGTTCTCCAACTTTGACCTCTGAGTCAGTCGCGGTCGATCCAAACACAAGGCCCCCTGAGCTTCCCTTCCTTAGCAATACTGCTCCAGCCTGTAGCCCAGGCCAAACGGAAGGCTGCATGGCTCCTGGAGGAAGACTGCAGAAACTAAGCTATCTTTCTTTTTCTCTCTTTCTCTCTCTCTCCTTATACAAAGTGTAAAAAAAGCAAAACAATGAAAAGTGCTATTTTTCTCATCCGATCAAAACATACCCAAATCACCCGAGCCCTGCTCCCATGGCTAGCATAGTTACCCTCCCTCGCGCGCTCTCTCTCTCTCTCTTGCTTTCCATCTCTCCCCCTCTCTCTTTCACCCTTCCTTCCTCCCTCACTCACTCATTCCCTCCCCCTCTCTCTCACTCCTTCTTCTCTCACTATTTCTCTCTCACTCTCTCCCCCACCCCACCCCCTCTCCTGCTTCCCTATTTCTCTCTCTCTCTCTCTCTCACTCTCTCTCTCTAGCAGCTCACATGCTCCCTTCAAAGGACAATGACGCACAAGTGCCCGAGAGACTACATTTCCACAGAGAGCGGCACTTACTGAAGCACCCAGGTCCCCATCAAAAGCAAGCTGAAGAGGCCGGCTCTCTTTGTGCCGAGGCGAGCGAGTGCAGATGAAAGCACAGAGAGCATCGCGCTCTCACTTCATTTAAACCATCAGTGAAAATAGGTGCACAACAAAGAGATGATGGGGACCCAGCCCGACCAGGTGCTGATCAGGAACATCAGGGCAGCAACAGGCATTTTGGCATTTCTTTTTCCTTCATTTCTTTTACAATCAACATTCTGCCTTGTTGGTTTTGTACATAGTGGGAAAGCTTCTCAGGCAGTGTTCTCGATAGCAAGCTATGTGGTTTTAGTTAGTTAGACTCCAGCAGTACCCCAGCACACACTCTGGTGTCCCCAAGCCTTGGCTCTTACAACTCTGAGGACAATGAAGGAAGTGTTATCAGTCACTGCAGACTATTGGGGAAACCCAGGGGCATTATTCTGTGTTGTCAACTTGTTATAATAAAAAAAATCCTTGCATTTGAGGAAGCGCTTTTCACATCTTTGAGACTTCTCAAAGCGCTTCACAGGATATACTGTAAAGTGAATTGACTGTATATTTGTGGGCGAATCGCGGCAGCCAATTGTGCACAGCAGTGTCCCACGAACAGTCGTAGATTGAAGTGACCAANTTTTTTTCTTGAGGGATTATTATCAGACATGTGGAGTAAGGAACCTTGCCCAAGGTTTTGCCCTGCTGGGAATCAAACCCAGGTCTCTCGCTTGCGAGGTGAGCACTCTAACCACTGAGCTACAGGATATGTTGAGCAGTTTAGTGTTGGCTTCACTCTTCACCCCCACCCCCCAACCAGCCTCATTTTCCAAGGGTGGGAGAGTCTAATTTGAGTTTCTCTCTCCCCTGGTGTCTTAGTCAGCAATCCTCCAAATAAAATTGGTCACCCACTCTGTGGATGGATTGTGAGACATTGCTGTCTGCAAATTGACTGCAGTGGTCACCATAAAATACACAGTCAAGCCAGCTTGGAATACATTCCTGTGAAGCGCTTTGAGACGTCTCAATGATGTGATGGGGCACTGTATCAAATACAAGGATGCTTATGATAGGAATACAAGTTGTAGTTGTCGTAGTTACCTCCCAGCCTTAAAGCAACCAAACTCCACAGGGGTTGTGAGAGCCTCTTCCCAACCGCAGAAACGCACTGCTTGTTTGGACTCATTAGTTAAGCCCCCCATTAGGTAGCTCATTGAAACAGATGCAGACAATGGCTGGAGATGTGCTTGCCAACAGGCCGTGATAATTGCTCTGCCTCCTCTGTGAAGTATGAATAATGTTTCTCTTTCTGTGCGGTCAGACAATACACCTCAGCCTGCATGAAGCGGGGCCAATCCCATTAGTGGAGAATGCCTGTGCTTTGCGTTCAGTGGGAACCTGGGCCTGAACCGCATCCAGCGATGTCTCTACTCAGCAATGTGTTTGGGTAAACGTCCACTTCAATCACAATTATTCTATTTATATGACGGGCCGAGTGGCTTGAGAGCGTTTGTGGAGTTGGAGGAGCATGCCGTAATGGGGCTGTTTAATGCATTTAACATTCAGCATGGAACAGAAACAGGAAAACACGGGGGAGGGGGTGCAAACATTAACTCCTCAGTTGCATTCGTTGTTGAAACCTTGAAATTCCAGATTTATCGCAGCCGACCATCTGGAACGTGGCCTCTCGTCTTTATTTTGGGGCAGCCGGGTGTCTGACACATGCTTAAGAGTATCCAACCCAGACTGAGTGTTCCACCTATGTATGCCGCCAAACATGGAAATGTCTCTGTGTCTGGAATGGAATGCACACCCTCTGCCTAGAGGACACATTCTGCTTACCTAATTCTGGAAAGTATTAGGTGCTGGTTGGCAAGAGCCAAAGCTTGGGAACTGGGGCACGACTGGAGTCTAACCAGCTAAAAGCGCATAGGTTGACATTGAGAGCCGTCTGCCAAGCTTTCTACTGCTTGTCCAGGTAGGAACACCCTCCTTGTTAGGGCTTTGGCTTGCAGAGTTAGCAGAGTGGGAAGAATCCCTGCTCCCAGTGACCCGTCTGCCTCTCCAAGTCAACGTCGATGAGCCACACATCAGCTCATCAGGTTATAGACATTAGGTCAGCTGTAACATTTCAAAAAGAGAAGGGAGTTTCTCTCTGGGCTCTGGCCAATAATCCCCCAAATAAAAAAAACTTCATTCACATCATGACAGTTTGTAGGGTATTGCTGTACGCAAGTTGGCTGCCGTGTTTGGCTATAAAATACGCAGTCACTGAATTTTACAGTAAATACTGAAATGTGCCCTGAGATGTTCTGACCTAAATCATCCCTTCCTGGTAGCCTGTTCCAGTCGGTTGATTATCCTCTGGGTAAAGAAGAACTTCCTGGTGTCTGTCCTGAAATTGCTCTTTGCAACTCTAAACCTGATCCCCTTACTCTCGTATTGTCTTGCGGCTTCCTAAAGTATCAGAGTATCTGGGTTTACCTTTTGAATATAAGATCCCCGATGAGTTGTCTTCTCTCAAGACTGAAGTGCCGTAGTTTATCTAAGCAGCGACTTCCACAGCAAATCCAACATTTGTGCCGGTGACCAGACCTGTACACTGTACTCCAGGTGTGGTTTCACCAGAGTCCGTACAGTCTGAGTGTGTGAGTGTGACATCTGCGGAATCTGACAACTGGTTTACAGTATATCCCAGCATCCTGTTTGCCTTTTTTTTATTGCTCCCTCATGACTGTTTTGACACAGTGAGCATTGAGTCAATCAACACCCCTAAACCTCTTTCAGCTTCCTCTTGGCAAGTTCAGTCCCATCCACGGAGTGCACATATTTCCTATTCTTAGCTCACAACCACTTCGATAAAGTCCCGGAGGACTGGCGCGGCCCTCGCGTCACGTAGCCCAGGTTTCAGCGTTCCCGGGGAGAGCAGAACATCGCTTTATTTAAAAAAAAGAGAGAGAAAGTTGTGAAGTTTGTGATCAAAGTCCCTGGTGTGGGGGGTGGGGGGGGGGGAGTGATTTTTAATTTAAAATTATTTTAATTTGTTTTTGGACAAGTTGTTCAAAAAAACTATCTCTTGACTTTAACAGGGAATAAGAGGTTTGCATTTTAGTGGTGTGTGTGTGTGTGTGTGTGTAAAAAAAAACACAGTAGAATGAAAACGACTCTGAGGTTGTGATGTATGTCACAACCTGTCAGGACCAGGGACTCCGGGGGCGGCCCTTTTGTCCGGGGACCCGTTTCTCCAGCGGCTGAGGGGGCGCGGGGGGAGGGTATACGGTGTGACGCTCGGCCCGTGGGGAATGCGTCACCGTGATTTGGGAAGTTGTTGTTGCGGAAGTGAGTGAGTGAGTGAGTGAGCGGCGCCGATGGAGACTCGGGAGTTTGTAAGTGAACGAGAGGGATAGAGAGGGATAGAGAGGCGTTTGTTAGTGACGGGAACCCCGGGACCCGGGACCCCGGACCCCGGACCCCGGGGCGGCGGCTCTCAGGGGCTTCAAGACAGGAAGCGGCGAGTTTACAACTGTTATCCTCCCCCTCACCTTCATCATCACTCTCTCCTCCTCATCATCACTCTCTCCCCCTCATCATCACTCTCTCCCCCTCTCCATCACTCTCTCCCCTCTCCATCACTCTCTCCCCCTCTCCATCACTCTCTCCCCCTCTCCCCCTCATCATCACTCTCTCCCCCTCATCATCACTCTCTCCCCCTCTCCCCCTCTCCATCACTCTCTCCTCCTCATCATTACTCTCTCCCCCTCACCTTCACCATCACTCTCCCCCCCCCTCTCCTCACCATCACTCTCTCCCCCTCTCCATCACTCTCTCCTCCTCTCCATCACTCTCTCCTCATGACCACTCTCTCCTCCTCCTCATCACTCTCTCCCCCTCTCCCTCTCTCCATCACTCTCTCCTCCTCACCAGCATTCTCTCCCCCTCACCATCACTCTCTCCTTCTCACCATCACTCTCTGCCCCTCACCATCACTCTCTCCCCCTCATCATCACTCTCTGCCCCTCTCCTCCTCATCATCACTCTCTCCTCCTCACCATCACTCTCTCCTCCTCACACTCCTCACCATCACTCTCTCCTTCTCACACTCCTCAACATCACTCCTCACACTCCTCACCATCACTCTCCTCCTCACACTCGTCACTATCACTCCTCCTCACACTCCTCACCATCACTCTCTCCCCCTCTCCATCACTCGCAATGACAACAACAACAAGATTACATTTGTATAGCGCCTTTCATGTCGGGAGGATGTTCCAAGCCTCACTCCCCCTCTCTCCTCCTCACACTCCTCACCATCACTCTCCTCCTCACCATCACTCTCTCCTCCTCACACTCCTCTACATCACCATCACTCCCCCCACTCTCCTCACTATCATCCGCCACACTCACCATGACTCTCTCCTCATACTCACCATCACTCTCCCTTCACCCTCCTCACACTCACTGCCTCCTCATTCCCCTCTCTCCTCACCCTCATCTGCCTTACACACACTCCCTCCTCCTTACAGTCTCCCATGGCTCTCTCCCTCCTCCTCACTCACACTCCACATACTCAGCCTCAACCCCTCCTCTTCACCTCACATTCATATTCCTCCCCTCATCCTCCTTTCTTACCCCCCTCCCTCCTCCACCTCCGTACTCTCCAATAGCTACAGAGCCTCAGACTTCAATCTGATCTCCTATTTTTACTTAACTCTGGTACGGTTCCCTTGGTGCCCTCACCCAAGAGGCCATTCTTTGCCTGTGGCCTTGGTCGAGCTATTTGTCCTTGGGTGGACCTCACTCCTGAATCTGATCCTTGTTCTCACCTGGTGCCCACACTAGTTAACCGTCTAGCAAGAGGAGGGGTTAATTTATAGTGATCCAGAGGGCCAACCCGAGTAGATTTGAATTCCTCTCTATTCTGTTTCTCCCCCTCACGCTCTCTTTTACCTTCACTTTGTGGCCCAGGAGCTATAGAGGCCTGTTTTGGCACTCCTTCTGAGATCTGCTACCTCCTCAGCACCACCTTGGAATGAATCTGGATTTTATTAGTCTGTATGAGGTTAACCAATGCTGAGACAGTCAGTGCTGCAAACCTCTTTGGACACTTCCAGGCGACTGGGTCAAGTGTTTTTTTTTAAATTACTTTTCAAAACTTGGAATTTGACCAATTAACATTCTTATAATAATAATTAAAATCTTTACGTTTGTTAAAGCGCATTTCAAGTTAGGAGACCTGACAGAGGTTGCAGAGTTCTGGATGGTCTGCAGCTTGTGAAGGGAGAAGCTGGGAAGTCCGTCAAGTAGGGCATTGGGATAATGAAGCCTGGAGTTTGGACATCATGAAGGCATGGATGATTAAGGTGCCATATTTGCTGACACGATAAGATTGTATTCTAATAATAAGCCTTGCATTTGATATAGTGCTTTTCATGTCAGGAGAAGTCTCAAAGCGCTTCACAGTATTTACTGTAAAGCGAAGTGACTGTATTTTGTAACTTCAACTGTACTTCGTCACACCAAGGCTCGATTACGGAAACTCCCTCCTCATCGGCCCTCCCAACTCTTCCTTTCACAAGCTGCAGATCATGCAAAACTCCGCAGCTCGTGTACTCTCGCGCACCAGGCTCCGTGACCCCATCACTCCCGCTTGCCCGACTCCACTGCTCCCCATCTCTCAGAGGATCGAATTCAAGATCCTCATCCTCACTTTAAAGGCCATCATGGCCTTTCCCTCTTCTACCTCTCTGACCTGCTGACTCCCTACCAACCTGCCCACTCCCTCCGTTCAGCGGGGTCCGGTCTGCTCCATGTCTCCCGCCCGACCTGCTCTACCATCGGTGACTGGGCTTTCAGCCTCCCTGCCCTCACACTTTGGAACTCCATCCCACAGTCCCTTCGCCTCACTTCCTCCCTTGCCTCCTTCAAGGCCGGTCTCAAGACCCTTCTCTTCGACCGTGCCTTTGGTCGCCCTCCCATCTCTCTGCCTTCCCTCACGTGAAAGGTGCTCTATAAATGTACTTTTGTTTTGTTGTAAGCGAACCGGATTTGAGAAAGTAAACAGAGAGAAATTATTTCCACTGATCAATGAGTCTGTAACCAGAGAGCACGTATTTTATGTAGTCACTAAAAGACCAAAGGGAAGGATTAGGAGGTTACTGTAAAAAAAAGGTGCAAAACACTGCCGGGAGCTATATAAATGTGAGTTTTTTTATATTCAATGTGGACGTAGGATGTGGAATTCCCTAACTTGAACAGTGCTCAAGACAGAATCTATAGTAGCTTTTAAGAGGGAATTAGATATCTAAAAACGAAAAATATTTTTAAAAAGTGTATGCGGGGGTGAATGTGAGTTAAGGCAAGTGGGACTAAATTGATTGCTCTTTCAGAGACTCAGCAGAGACTAATGGGTCGAATGGCCTCCTTTTGTGGTGTAAATTTCCCTCGTTCTATGGTCCACAGGGTCTCAGTGCAGTTTGGAAGGAGGGTGTGTGAGTTTGTAGGGTGGCTGCTGTCTGCACCTCAAGATTTGTAGATTTCTATACCAAAAATAAAATGTGTGAAATAAATTGTCAAAGGTTTGACTTTGCTTTCAGCCTAATTGCAGGCCACTGCCTGGTCACTCTGCTTTGTGCTTTCTCTGGTTGGGCTGGGTCTATTTTTAGACCATGAGCTGAGCCGTGCGACCGGATGGGTCGGAGCCTGAGCTAGTCACGACTTGGGAAAATGTGCTCCCTTATTAAGGGGAAATGCCACAGACACATGAGGAGAGGGGAAGCTGGTTCAAATCTAATTTAGCGTTAACACCAAGAAATCATTATCTGATGGAACTGCTTCTATTTCTAGAACAAGACTTGTGACAAACCGGACAGGGCAGTCTAGTCCCCTCAGGAATTAGCAACAGGTGTCTTTTCTCGTTTTACAAATCATTTTATAGAATCATTTTACGGCACAGAAGACCATTCAGCCCATCATGTCTGTGTCCGTTTAGTCCCACTGACCTGCACTTTTTTCCCCCGTTCATATTTTGTCAAAGTTTTGTCTGTTTCTCTCAATCAGAGTGTTTTTTAGGTAGAGTGTTCCATGTCCTAATAGCGCTCTGAGTTTGTGAAAAAAAATTCTCCAAACTTCACACTTTGTTTTTTAAGGTACTGATCTTAAACGTATACCCTCAAGTTACTGACTCACTGTCCAGTTAAAATGGGTCTTCACACATTTTAACAGGTCACTGTGTAACTTAATAATAATAATAAGTGCCTCATAAGAAAGAGGTTTTGGTGCACCTAAATGAAGGCTGGATGTTTGTGAGTGGAGGGAGAAGCCTGAGATCGCTTGGAGAGGGACAGACTGGACGGAGAAAGAGCTGGCATGTTCTAGTGGTTAGATGAAGTGATAGATGGCTGATGTTCTGCTGGTTATATAAGCTGTAAGAAGGGAAGGACTGGTTGTGGTTAGGCAGCATTGACTGGTGTATGTACTGAATTTGTACAAGAGGCAGTATTAGTGCTTAAATTAGAATGAACACTGCAGCAGCCTTTCACTTTAACACTTCCCTTTTTAAGATCTGCATAGAGTGTTGTATCGAATGCCATATTTTAGTGCACAGTACACAAGGGAACCTTAAATAATCTGTGTTGCATTAGAGTGTTACAGACTGGGTGCTTCCTCCATTTCCCAATTAATTAGGAAATTGTAAATGCTATGGCTTACAGCCGTCTGGCATGAAGGGTGCTATGTAAATACAAGTTGTTATTGTGTTTATGCTGTGTGTTGGTGAGTCCATAACTTGGGGCTATCAATAAATATAAGATGGCTATTGGTCCATCTAATAGGGAGTTTAGAAGGAACTTCTTCACATAGTGTGGTGAGAAGTTGTGGTTGAAGCAAATAGAATCAATGCAAGACGAAACTTGCTGCATACATGAGGGAGAGGGAACAGAGGTATATAAACCAGGGGAACAGGAGGGTGGGATATAAACACCGGCATGACCAGTTGGGCTAAATGTTCTGTTTCCGTGCCATATCACTATATAACAGTCGTTTGGGATGGGATAGGAAGCAATAATGCAGTAGTAAGCAGAGGGGTTCCAATGATGGTCTAAATTGAGAGAATGAAGCTCAGACACGTTACAGAATTCTTTCAAACCTCAAGATGGTGCTGCTCGTCACTCTTGTTCCATTTGGGACACTATGCACCATATCTTCACTGTCGCTTACATTTGCTGGAAGATTTCTGTTCTGCGTTGGAGTAACTGCCTGGAGTTTAATGAGATGAAACTTACTATTGTGAACAATATCTTCAAAGCACATTTATAATTATATAACAAGTGTGTTTCGTACCAAAAAAGCACTGTGGCGAAGCAGCTGGTTTTCATAACGGCACTTTCACAGATTCTCAATCACTTTCTTTGGCCTCTATCGCAAAACACATTCAGAGTGAACGTGGAAGATGTTCTGTGGTTACACTGAGCCGTTTAGGTAGTTAAAAGGCTGTGACAGCCAGCCTTTGGCTTCTCCGTGTCTATTATTGCTGCCTTGTCTTCCTTGTTACCAACAGGAGTCGCTGAGCCAGGCAGGTCCGCAGTATTCCAGAGCACTGCTGATGGCAGCACAGCCAGCCTGGCTCATCGGCAGGACCTGAAAGGGCAGACCGGTCACTGGAGGCCAGGAGGAATCCCACTCAGCTCCTGTTAATCCTGCAAGCCAAAGCCCTCATGGGTAGGGTGGTCCTAGCTGGACAAGCAACAGGAAAGCTTGCTGTACAGCAATGGCAAGCTATGCGGTTTTAGCTGCTTAGACTCCTGCACTCTGGGGTCCCCAAGCCTTAGCTCTTGCCAGCCAGTGCCTAAAAATCTAGGAAGAGAGTACGCATTCCTTTCCAACAATCTGTCTCTGGGATTTCCATGTGGGATGCATGAAATTCTCAGCTTAGTTTGGATATTCTTAAACATGGTGATGGGTTTCCACATGTGTCAGACACGCGGCTGACAAAAAAAAACAGGAGTCACTATTTGTGACTTGGAATCTCTTATTTTCAGCTCTGATTATTAATGTTAGGCCCCAGCTTATTCTTTTTCTGTGAAAAAAGAGATTATAAAATAATCGGTGCAGCTTAAGCCCCCAGATTCACGGTAATTTAGTAGATGGGATGTTTTTCCTCTTCTATTTCCCCTCCCCAATTTTCTCCTGTCCTCATATTGCCTCATGGGAGTCCTCCAGTGAGCTGCACACTAATTGTCGGTAGCCTTTTAAAATATGGTGACAACTACTCACAGATCATATCCAAAAGTAGTAAATTGGGAGTGGGAATGCCTCCCCCCTCCTGCTTGCTTCTCATTTTCTATTTTAGGTCAGCTTGCTGAGACCAATTACAGCAGTTTTAAAACAGCACAGAACATGGAATGAACCCAGACCTGAGTGGCTTTGCACTGGGCAGAAAGCTTAATCAACTGATCCATTGGGCGAGCAATGATAATAAGTCTTGCATTTGATATAGGCCTTATCACATTGTTGAGACGTCTCAAAGCACTTCCCAGAATATATTGTAAAGTGAATTGATTATATTTTGTGGCAGTCAATTTCACACAGTAGTGTCCCACAAACAGTCGCGGATTGAGTGACCACATTTTTTTTGAGGGATTATTACCCCCCTGGTAAAGCGATCCATCATTCAACTAACAACCGGGTTCCTACTGCTAGGTAAACAGAGGAGTATGGAATAAGGAAACTTGCTTAAAGTTTCCCCCCACCCGGGAATCAAACACAGATTCTTTTGTTTGCGAGGCAAGCACTCAAACCACTGCACAATCGTTTAGTTGCATTCAGGTGCACTCTTTGAAGTTGAGGGCTGGATTTCTCTGCCAATAGCAATAAATCTAGAATTACAGGCAGTATTTTTCGTTTATCATCTTTCTGGAGCTGATTTCCAATTGGGCCGCCTGTTCAAGCGTTCAGGGCAGAAACACTGGCTGGTTATTCTCTCTCTCACTCTAGTTCAGGACACTCAGGCCTGATTGCAGTGCTTTCCACTGATGTTGCTCATCAGCTGTCTGCACGGCCTAACCTGGGTCTGCTCTCTGACCAGTATCTTTACAAAGTGAGTCATCAGTTTGCCTGCATTTAGCTGAAAGAGGTTTGGGGGAGATGGGGCGTGTGTGCTGGAGAGAGAATCTTTCAAAGGAAGGGGAAGCCATGAAAACCAAAGGGGGTGACGACGGAAAACCAGAGTGGGAAGGAGATCCGCTCAGGGAGGCTAGTGTTTAAACAGAAAGGTTAGATGATAATAATTCTTGCAATTGATATTTTGCCTTATCATGTCTTTGAGACATATCAAAGCGCTTCACACAATATACTGTAAAGTGAATTGACTGTATATTTTGTGGGATGCTGATGGTAGAAAGGAATTAGGAAAGTAAAAGTTTGGCTTTTTTGGTGACACGATATGTGCATTTCCTTTTTACCCCCAAGTCTTCTGGGTTTTAAGGTTCCCCATTCCAGACCTCATCCTGGACCAGCAAAGTGCAGATGTAGCTAAAGTGCAGCGTGGCCTAGCTAAAGCTTTTTTCATTTAACCACTGAGTAAAATGTACCTTTGACATGGACAACATACGAAAAAGATTTTTGAATAAAAGCACAGGGCAGCTTGTGAAATATGTTTTGCCCTCTGCGCTCTCTCTCTCTCTCCTCCCCTCTGTCATATTTTGGTGAAGTAGCAGTACTTGATTGGCTTTTCCTTACGTAATGTTCATTAAATATTGATGCCCCTAGAACCTGGGGAGAGCCTTTTTCTGCAGCGAGTGTTTTGTAAGCTGCGTTTGAGAGCTCAGTCAGTACTGCACACTGCATCGGTGAGATCATCTCTCCGAGGCCTGTAAGGTGGTTTGTCTTCTTTGATTCGTCAGCAGGAAGGCAGGAGCGCATTGCTCTGTGCTGTGTCCTGTCAGAGTGAGGTGTGGAGTCCAATGATGGTGAGATGGGACAGTGCAGGGGGGAGGGAGTGGGGCAGGGAATTGGAGGAGAGATTTTCTGGGGGTTTTAAGGCTGCTCCTGGATTCCTATAGACTGTTGTATTAACTGCTGAATATTGCTGAGATAGTGAGTGGGCCTGGATAAACAGTGTGTGTGAGAATAACAGTGTCATGGCTTGTGGTCTCCTGTATTTATATTGAGTGTGTTACAAAGTGGTTCAGAAATTTTTGCTGCACGTTAGTTAACTCTCTCCCATCCCTTTGCCCTGACCCCACGGATTCGAGGCTTCCTCTGGTCTAAATCGTGTATTTGGCTGAGGCTGAGGAACGAAGAGATCAGTAAATAGCACATACCAGTGGCCTGAAATTCCACCCAATCTTACCCTAAGAGAGCATTTTGTCTTAATTGTTCAAAACACACAGAATTGTGGACAATTCTTATCATAATTATAATAATCCTTTCATTTGTTGGGGCGCCTTTTACGGCAGGAGGATATCTCAAAACGCTTCACAGGAATAACTGCAAAATGTAGTGGCAGTACATTTTGTAAGCGAACAAGGCAGGCAATTTACACACAACAATGTCCTGCAAAGAACTATGAAGTAAATGACCTATTTTATTTGGGGTTATTGTTGGCCAGGACACTGGGAGAAATGTCCATCTGAACAGGCAGACGGGGGTCTCATTTTGATGTTTCATTTGAAGGACGGATTCTTAAATTCACTCAGAATTTGGAAATTGGTTCTGTAATAATAATAATCCTTGCATTTGATATAACGTCTTATCGTGTCTTCGAGACATCTCAGAGCGCTTCACAGAATATATTGTAAAGTAAATTGACTGCATGTTGTGGGCGAAACATCCTTTTTAAGCACAGCAGACAAACAGCTTTCAAATTAAGTCAAAAATGTAGAATTTTCCACAATTCTGCTCAATCTTAAATGTTAAGAATAAATGATCCTTCAGCTAAGGATAGGTAAAATTTAGGGCTTCAGGAATCAAACCTAACAGGGTGTGGTCTGTATGGCTTACTATTGTTCCAGTTAAATGGCTTGACTAACAAGGCCATTGGGGCTCTTTAGGAATAAATGTATCTGTTTGATTTCATGTCAGAGAAATAATAATAATAATCCTTGCATTTGATATAGCGCCTTAATGAGTCTTCGAGACGTCTCAAAGCGCTTCACAGAATATACTGTAAATTGTGGTGACTGTGTTTTGTGGACAAAACGCAGCAGCCAATGGCTCACAGCATGAATTAAGTGTTTCTGCATAGAGATTCTGCTGCCTGATGCTGGATTGTCTCTAAATTAAGCTGATCATTTCTTTGCTGTGTGAAAAATATACACTAAAATGCCCCTTTTGCTCAATTTGTTTCCTTCAGGGAGTGATTCTGCGTATCTGCAGCTAACTCCTACGGTTCGATGGCGGTTTGACGTTGTACATTGAGTGATGGACATCTGCCGTGGAACACAGCAACCACATATTGTAGCCCAGAAACATCTTCAACCCTTGCAAAGTGCACCAGCGTCTCTTTCCTGCCCTGTGACATTCCTCACCTTGTAGAAAATGGACGACCCGAACCAGCTGGAGCAGAGATCCAGATTTGCTGAGTCCAGCGACTGATCCCTTCATTTAGCATTGTAGCTTGTTTACAGGCTGTAACTTGTCATTGATGCAATAGAGCAGTCACGAGGATTCTCGCAGTGCAAACACTTAAAATTGTCAGATTACCCTTTGACTTGTAGACTATCAATAGAACTCAGAAACTTCTGCAATGCTGTCAAAGACAAGGTCAGAGTTGAAGTGAAACTTTTTATTTTTACACTGTCGAAGCTGCTTGATGAATTAACGTTAGTCTTCCAGATGTATATTTTTGATTATCTTGCTCGAAGGCCTTTGTAATACCTGAGCCTGTTTCTGGCCAGAGTTTTGAGAAGGAAGCACCCTCTCTCCCTCTAGCGTTTCCCTCCTTGGAAGATTATTTTGGGCAATGGGGCTGGACTTTCTTATTGACAGGCACTGGTTCATGATATTAGTGGATTGTACAATACTGGACACAAGGGCTCCCTCGGGTTTGTAGGCAGGATGGAGGGTGAGAATGTTTTTCGTGGACTTTGACGCTCCAGACACCAAAATAAGGGAAACGACTGCCTGAAGCTCAACCCGTTGTTTGGGTTTTAAAAGAATTGTTGCACAACTACACAAAAGAGTTTAAAGAACTGGTCGTCTCGATGACTTACCATTGACCTGTTGCCCAGGTGAGTTAGACCAGAGCTCTGAGACACCAGCCAATGGAGGAGGCGCTGGAAGCAGATGACATCAGCCCTGCATTGGAAGCTACCGAGGAGTTCTTTCTTTTCAGCGGCATCGATGACCGAGTGAGAAGCACGGACATCCCGCAGCGGGAGGTATACGGGATCCAGGAGGTCCCTGTTGTCATAGGCCACGAGGTCCTGAAGACGAGGGGTGAGAAGTTACAAGGTAGAGATGGGACATCTGCTGCCAGAGCCACGACTGAAACCAGACCTGGGGGTGGGGGTCCTGGCAGCCAGCCGGTCAGGGTGAGCGGCAGGTCGTTGTGCTGGAGCACTGGGAGTACAGACTTCGAGGACAGGAAGCTCTCTTCCAGCTGTTGTGGGGTGGCTTACGGCAAGAGAAACGCCTCGGCTAAAAGCTGGTCTGGTGACCGGCCAGAGCTCTGCAGATCCCAGTCCGACATCGTCCCGTCCCAAGGCCAGGCGCGTCCCGGGGCTGCTCGAGCCCACCCCCCGACTGATAGCAGCTTAACTCTCTCCATCCCCTCCTTTTCAACCTCTCTGAACGGAGGTGGCGAAATTGGGACAGTTATTCAAAGGAAAAGCTGTAAGTGCCAGCAATGTCCGGAGCAGCGATCCTGTCTTAACTCCTCAATTACACTTTCTTTCCTATAATCTCTCCGCTTCCTGCTCTTTTACAGGTCACTTCACACATGATTTGCATTGGTTCCATTTACATTACAGTGCAACTCTCGAGTCTCACCAGTGAGCTCTGTAATGCAATGGGCTGAAGTGTGCAACAAGATGCACACTGCAATCTCGTTTACGCTTTCTAGTGTGTTGGTGACAAGTGCCCTCAGCACCACCCACACTGGGTTACATCAGGATCAACATGCTATTACCCTCAAATTAATTGCCACTTTTGTACCTCAATGTCTTGCAGACTTCTGGTAGTTGCTCCCAGGTGTTACATAATGTTGTTTTAGGTTGTACCACTTCTGTCCACATTGGTACTCTCTCTCTTAGCTCGCAGCACTAAACCTATTTTGGCATCCATTCTAACCATGCAGTTTGCCCAGGATGTTAAGCCTGGACGCGATGCCAGTTTCCTTGATGGGCTCTGGTGCTTAGTTGGTGTCTTTGCTCTGTCATGCGTATCCCATAATGGATCTGGGATGTGTTGACAAGCCATAAGCTTCTACATGCAGAGATGCTGCATATATCGTTGAACTGGTTTGAAGCTGAAGAACCGCCAGAATATACAACTCACTAAGAGGCTATTGATGGCCCCCCTTCCCCCCCCCCTCATCAATAATGTAATCTACTCTGGATAGTATGAATAGGCTTGTTCTCAACATGCTAAGAGTTGATATGGTCCTGCATCTTATGTGTTTGATTACAGTTCAGTATTGTGAAATCTGGTCCTGTCTGCCTACATGTTTGTTCAACCTCTAAATGTAGAGTCAGCAACAACAACAGTTTTATATTTATATAGTGCCTTTCACAACAACAACAATTTGCATTTATATAGTGTCCCTCATGCAGGGTAGCATCCCAGTGTGCCTGACAGTGGCGGAGCACGACTCTGAGCCAGGGGAAGGGGGAGGTGAGTGTAGGCATGGTCGAATAGGAAGGTCATCCGGCCCAACCTGAAAATCGGGAAGGAAGGGGCAAGGCGGAAGGATAGAGGAAGAGTGTTCCAGTGTTTCGGGGCATAGTGACGGGCAGCGTGACCACCAATGGTGGAATGGAGGGCCTGGGGGACTTGCAGAAGGCCGGAGCCAGTCGAGCGGAGGCAGCAGGTTGAGGGGTAAGCAGGTCGGAGAGGTAAGGAGGTGCCAGGGCATGAGGGGATTTGAAATGAGTGTGAGGATCTTGAAATTGACTTGTTCAGTGATGGGGAGCCAGTGGAGCTTGGTTAGAACTGGTATGATGGGGGTGAACGAGTGACAGAGTTTTGGATTAGTTGGTTCCTTTGTACGGTGGATCTGGGGAGACCAACGAAGAGGGCATTTTAGAAGTTTACGTCTGGAGGACGTCTCGAATCGCTTCATAGAGCCAACTGGGAGCCCAAGCTGAGGGTCGAGGGAACTGAGGAAAGTGGGGAGGAAGAAAGCAAAGTTATAACTAAAACTAAATTGCAGAATGCGCTGTACTTTTACATTCATGGAATCTTACATTGCTTTTTAAAGAGGAAACATTACGACAAGGCTGCCATTCCCCGGCCCCTGAATGTTTGGGTACTGTTTCATTGGTGCCAGTCGTCACCCAAGGTCTTGCCAATTCTTTGTGTGCGGCTTGACGGTGATTGTTGGCAGACCTTTTGTTTGGGGATTTTAGCGACTGGAATTTCAGTGAGGTTGAGCTGGATCCTGTCCTCTTCAGACAACTACACACAATTGCACCTTTGGCAAAGGGTCATTGGATGGTGATCATGAGCAGGGATACTGTCTACTTATTTTTTTCTTCTTTCTCTCTCTCTAGGCCAAGAATGCTGAGGTCAATTGCATTGCCTTTACGGCTGCTTCTCTGAGTCCCAAATGTCTCAACACATCCTGGGGATTGAGCTATGGTCCTTCTGAGTCTTAAGCACAGTTCCACACTGGGCTGTCAATTTAAAATAACAATAGTTTTGCTAATCCTTGCATTTGATATAGCGCCTTTCAAATTACGAGGATGTTTCGCTACTGTGTATTTTGCAGTGCAAAAGTGCAGCTATAGTGTATTTTCTAGGCAAATGTCTGACATATACAAATATACCAGCCTAGCAGCCTTTACGTGCTCTGAGACTTGTGAAGGGCATTATATAACTGCAAGTCATTGTTGTTCCGCAGGCCCCGCACATGGAGCAGTAGGTGAGGGATTGACCTTTCTGAGCAGCGTTAGATCACAAAATGCTGCTGACAATCCAGTTGGCATCCAGCAGTCTGTGGCTGCTTGGGCAGAGGCATTAATTGGACAGGCACAGCTGCTCTGGAGCACGCCTGGCTCAGGCCTCCAATCCCTGCTTTGCCATTTGCTCTTTGCTAGGTATTAGCTTTCCGCCTCTTCATTTAAATTTGTTTTGTGTTTTTGTTTTGTTTTTGTTTTGTTGCAGCGCTGATAAAGATCGCTCGGAGGGATGGCATCTTGAGGCCGCACTCCAAAACCGAGGTATTATCTGTCTCATTGTGCATGAGGCTGTGTAATTGAATGCATCTGTGCCATCCTCCCTGACTGACCCATGTGGAACGAATCATTTAAATTTTAATTGCGAAACCTTTTTTATTATAATTATTATTGTGTTTCCCGCCCCCCCACCCCACACGGTTTTGTTGCCCCCTCCTCCCATGAGAGAGCGGAAACAACCACCTCATTTGCACAACAATAGAAAAATACTTGCTAGAATGAGACTTTCTCTCATAAAACAAAAGGCTCCGTGAACCTCGGTTTATTGGTGTTCACTGACTGCAGATGACTTGAAATGCCAGCTCTGCTACGTTTGCGAGTGGGGGTAAGGCATTGCCAATTGTAGCCATGCGACCCGGACGAGAGACTGAAAATAACATTTGCATTATTGGATTAATGTGGAAAGCACACTCCTATTATCTAGCAAATAGGGGATTAGTGTGTCTGGATAATTTAATGGTTTGTTCAGTGTTGGAGATACTAATGAATGGCAACAGCTCTCGCCTACATTACAAGGAGAGGAGATTAGCTCCCATCTCAACGCAAAAAAGAAATCATTGCTTTACTCCACTAACATCTAAAGCAAGAGAGAGCATTGCCAATGAACTCCATTTTACAGTTAAAGTCTATGAATTGGTGTCAATTTTTAAAACTCTTTCTTTACCCCATTTCTCTTCCAATTTGTTTCAGTCGCTGTTTCACTAAGGGGACAGAGCAAGTGATCTCACGGGGGAATTAGTTTGGAGGAGTCACAGATCACCTGGCAATGTGAGGGTGCTGCAGTAATATCAGAAAGAACAGGAGGCATGCCAAGCCAGTTACTGTTTTATTAATCCAGCGCTCTCGCACTGTGGCTCAGGGTCCTCTCTAGGCCTGGAATGTCAAAGGATGTTGATGCTGGCGATAATTCTATGTAACCATTTGAATTTTAAAAAGGGGTTCTAGGGTGACCTTCATATTACTTTTACAATGTCATGTCAACAAGTCCCCCGTGAGCCCCCCAGTGGGTAATGGCCCAACAGAGGAGCTGAGCTTTTTGAATGGTCACATGCGTGTGTGTGCACAGCAGGTTCGTTAAAGAGTGAAGGCTAAAGATTTGGATACATTTTCAAGCGCTCTGAGACACTACCCTCCGTGAAGAGTGTTACATAAATGAAGTTGTTGTTGTTGCTCTCTGAGGCCCAGGAAATGCAGATTAACTGCTGGTGGATCTCTATGTCTACATTTGCTTTCATTTTCCACATTCATGATTGAAACCATGCAGTTGCGCTTTCTGCACCATGAAAATGAAGGGGGCAGTGAGTTTATAATGTCCCCTCTTCATTCGGAAAGCTGCTAGTCTCTTGCTCCCCACCGTTTTACTCGCACTCTCCCTCCAACCTTTTCTCTCTCTTCCTCATGCTGGGTTACAGTCCTGTCTTTGGAGTCCTGTAGCTCAGTGGTTAGAGCACTCGCTTTGCAAGTGAGAGACCTGAGTTCAATTCCAGGTAGGGCGAAACCTTGGGCAAGTTTCCTTACTCCAAACCCCAAATAATAATCCCTCCAAAACCAAAAACAATAATTAAATTGGTCATTTTCAATCTACGACTGTTTGTGAGACATTGCTGTGCGCAATTGTCTGCCGCGTTCGCCCACAAATATAGTCAATTCACTTTACAGTGTGTTCTGTGAAGCGCTTTGGGACGTCCTCCCGACGTGAAAAGCGCTATATCAAATGCAAGGATTATTATTATACAGTACCACAGCTACCCAGTGACTGTTTATCAAATGTGAATGTGGACCCTGTGGGAAGCTGCTTAGCCTTAGAAATCACCAAAGCCGACCTTGATCCTATCTAACTAGATGCCCACACTTTCATACCTTTCACAAGGAACTGGTCATCAACGGGTTTTGGAACACAAATGTTATATCAGATCCCATGACATTATTTGAAAGACGGGGAAGTTTCTCCCAGTCTCCTGGTCAACACTACCCCCTCCCTCCACCCCAAAAAAAATGGTGATTCACTGCATGGCTGTTTGTGAGACATTGCTGTGCGCTACTTGGCTACTATGTTAACCACAGACACGTGGTCACTCTGCTTTACGGTGCATCCTGCGAAGTGCTTTGGGACATCCTCCCAACGTGAAAAGTGCTGTAATAAATGCAAGGATTATTATTGTAATTAGTTTTCTCAGAATCCTGTATGAAGAATGGTTTTCTGGATTGACTTTTAAACATTTTAGTTCTGATTTTAAGATCATGTCCTCGTGTTCTGATTCTAACTCTGTTTCATTGTTCTGGATTCCCCCACAAGATTGAAGTTATTCTGTTTCTACATGTCAATTTTCTTCATTATTTCAATCCCCTCTGTCTGACTAGCCCTTAGTTTCAAAGGAATATAGCCCACATTTACCAAACCTCTCTTCCTAGCTATTTCCCTTCATCCCAATAGCTACTGAATCCAGCATCTCTTATTTCCATATGCACCATAAAGGGAAAAACTTATAAGAAGTTGTCAAGTGTGGTGTCCAAGGAACCAATGTTTTTTTTGGGTTGGCCGGGTGTCTGACAAATGGGGAAACCCATCACCATGCTTGAAGAGTATCTGTACCAGACTGAGAGTTCCTTGCATGTAACCCCGAAACCCAAATTATTCAAGCTTCTCTTAGCCTTGAGATTTAAGGTTGTGCAAAATTTTGGACATCTTAATTTGAAAGCTGATTTTTGAACTATCTTCCAAATTTAGATTGGATTTAAGAATTTTCTAAAATTCTGCACAATCTTACGTTTTACCTCAATGGCTACGCCAATGAGAAATCCAGTCCTTTGGCCTTTTCCAAAGCAATCCAAAGCAGTGCAATAACCCCATCTTCTCCCCTTTGTAGGTTCTCAAATAGCTTGTCAAGACGTCCTGAAGAAAGGGAATCTGGCCAGGAAGCCGGATCACATCAGTCTATGGGAGGAGTGCTATGTTGAGCTTTGCTCACGAGAACTGCGTGTGTACAGTTTGGACAATAGGGGAAACTGGCATTTGTGCAAAGCGTACTACTTGAGACGTTGCCAAAGTATCACTGTGCCGGCCACTCACGATGCCAGGGTACTGGAAGTCCTCTTCTCCAATGGAGCATGGCTGCAGCTACAAGCTCGCTCCCAGCAGGAGGCAGAAGACTGGAGGCAGAATCTGCTAGAGCGGGTGATCGCTCTGCGCCCCCTGGTGTTAAAGGACGTGGAACATGCTACTTGCAATACGCCACCTCTTCCTCCTAACCGGGACCCCAGGACTTTCAAAGCAGAGGCTGCACTCAGTTCCATCTGGCTCGGACCTCTTCCCCTGCACAGTGCATGCAGAGAAGGCGCGCTTCGGATTGGGACACTTCGCAAGTTGACACCTCAAAACAACTGGAAGTCTTACACCTTCATCCTTAGCAGAAGCCAGCTCAAACACTTTGGCTCTGCGGGTCGAGAGGAGGAAGCTGTAGTCCATTACAAGTTGAGTCAATGCCTAGATGTTCACCTGGACGTGACGAGAGATTCCGCCACCTGCTTTAAGGTCATTTTTCCAGAAGAGGTTCTCTTTCTCATGGCAGATGCCCAGAGGGAAGCCCAAGAGTGGACGGATGCAATAGCGGCCGCAATGAACGCTACGTGGGGATGTGGCGCTGCAGACCACTCCGCCTCCAGGGTCGCCAACACAAAGGAGGTGGGCTCGCAGAGAAGCAAACGCTACTCAGTGACCAGCAGCTTCCTGAGCCTCCTGACCGTGATTGCCGTGGAAAAGGGGCTCACGGCCCAGAGCTTCAGGTGTGCAGGTGAATGTTCGCACTTGTTAAACAGGAAACGGTGTGTGGGAGGTAGTGATAATAATATTGGCCGTTGATGGTCTGATGTGTTAAAAACCTTTAATCATATTGACGTTAACGTTTTTCGATCAAGTCAAATGTTCACAAAATGGAGTCCTGCAGCTTCGTGGGTAGAGCCCTCGCCTCGCAAGCGAGAGGACCTGAGTTCATTTCCCAGGCAGGGTGAAACCTTAGGTAAGTTTCCTTACTCCACGTGTCTCTGCTTACCTCGCAGTAAAAATAAGAATAGTTAGTCGATTGGCATATCACTTTCTGGAGGTAATGATCCTTCCCCAAAAAATAAATAAATAAAAATGTGGTCACTCAATCCATTTGGGACACTGCTGTGCGCAATTGGCTGCTGCGTTTCGCCCACAAAATATACTTTACGGTATATTCTGTGAAGCGCTTTGAGACGTTTCAAAGATGAGGTCGATAAGATAAGGTGCTATATCAAACGCATGGATTATTGTTATTATAAAGACTAAAGTGTAAAGCATGTACAGAACCTGGCTACGCTGCTCTCCATTTAAATTCCTGAAACATCTCAAAAAGTCTGACCAGCCTCGGGCAGGTATTTGCACTTCGAGTGACCCACGTCCGTGCTACCTGAGTTCATCCTGGATCTGTCTGTGGGCTAACCTCCCAGCAACTGACAGCGGCCCCCACTGCCTTTGTCTGTGGATTAGCAGGAGGCAGCCAGTTACTGTGGGCTTTTGGGCAAAGAAAGAGGGGTGAGAGAAAAAAAAGAGTGTTTTTTTTACTCTAAATTCCTCAGCCCCTTGGTACAGATTCCTGTAATTACTTCTATTGTGCCCTCCCTGAATGCCAAATAATACAGCAAAAGCCATGTCTAATTGAGACCTTACGGGGCATACAAATCCACCATTGTTCAGCTTGACAAATTGAGGCCAGAAAGTGGCAGTGACCATGCGGAAATTGAAGGAAGTGCCAGAAAGACCATTAAAGCTACAGTAATACCCTGTCTTGTGCTACCCGCCAGTAAAGGTTTTTTTTAATCCCCAGCAACAACACCTCGGGGCCGGGCTATTTATTTAGTAAAAGTGATTAAATGGTAATACAAGAGGTGCGGCCATTGTCCCTCGTGGCTAATTGATTGACATTTAAATGCTGCTAAAGCGCAGATTGGCAGGATATGGTGCAGCTTGTTTTGTTATTTTTGTGCTGCTCCTGAATTGGCCTGTCAGGATTTGGGAAGAGAAGTGAGGGGCCACCAGCAGCATGGGTGAGACATTCACAGACTCTGCCTGCGTGCGTGCATGCGTGTGTGTACTAAATTAGTCGGGCTGGTTTGTTTAGGCTCATCGCCATTTTCCCAATTTCTTACAGTGAGTAACTCACTCTCCTGTACAGTGTTTGGATGGATCAAGGCATGCGTACATGGCAGTTTTATTCTACGGCGTTGGATTTCCCAGGGTTTTCTCGGGTTGTTGGCAAGACTGTAATCAAGTTACTGATTGGGAGAAGTACAGTGAGATTTGTTCTAGAGGCTGCACACATATTTTGCTCATGATCTGTTTTTGGCTCAGTTGCTGTATGCACATTCAACCCGATAGCTTAATGTGGCAGTAGAGATTTTATTGTGAATTGTGCCGGTAACTGAAAACTTTGCAACGTGCATTTACAACTTCACCCAGGATAGTATCCCAAGGTGCTGCAATGTGGCACCAAGCCGGGGAGGTGGGGGAGGTGACCATATGTGTGTTTGAAGAAGCAGGTTTTAAGGTGTGATTTGAAGATGGAACGGCAACTTATGGAAACAACCACCTAATTTGCACAACAATAGAAAAATACTTGCTAGAATGAAACTTTCTCTCATAAAGGAGTCAGGGACGCTCAGCAGGCCTGTGTTGGCTGTGCAAAGGGCACAGAAAGTGCAAAATTTTCCAAGCTCATCGTTCGTCAGCCTGGCTCATTTTGTTGCACTGTTGTCACTGAGTCAGAAGGTTGTTGTTGTTCAAGCCCTCATCAGGACTTGGAAACTCCTTTGTCTAAGCTGACACTGCAATGCAGTGCTGGGGATGTGCTTCGTTGTTGAAGGTGCCATTCTTTGGATGAGACGTTAAACCAAGGCCCAGTCTACCTATTCAGGTGGGCGTTAATGATCCCATGGGAGTATTTGATAAGAGAAGGGAGTGTCTCCTGATGTCCTGGCCAACAATTCCCCCAATCAAAATTGGTCATTCATTCATGGGTCATTATGCGCAAATTGTCTGCTGCATTCACCCTCAAAATGCACAGTCACTGCATTTTACAGTATATCTGTGAAGCACTTTGGGAAGTGCAATGACTCCCAATCTTCCAGGAATTTACCAAGATTGAAAAGAGTAGGGGGTGGATTAGCAGACAATATGAAAAATAGTATTAGGTGATGGCAATCTTGAATTTGGGTTAGGGTTAGGTTGGGTTAGGGTTGTAGATTGTTGGGGAAAGAGAAAACTTAAGAAAGTACAAATTCCATAATCTTGAGATTCTGGCTAAGAACGAGTTGAGAACAGATCAACTGTTTCAACGCAGGGAAGAGGAAAAGCTTAATGGTGAATTTGAAAGAGGAATATAAGGCTTGCCTGATCACTAATTAGGATTGAGAAAGGTTGTCATTAGGAGAGGGACACCTATCAAACAACAAGCTTCTGTTTCATCCTGCAGGAGCAGTATGCCAAGCTTCAGACAGGCTTGAGCTTTATGTAGAGTTGAGAGGCCAAAGTATATTGAATGAAACAGGGAAATTGGCTGCTTGGAGGAAACGTTTAGCAATGGTGAAGAATCCAGGTTTGAATACTCAGCTTTTGCACTGAGACGGTTGTGAATGAGTGAGTAGGTTGATGATGTACATCTCAGGCAGTTATTTGTTGTTCTCTATAAAGCACATCTGATGGGTAGTGATTATGCTGATACTGATATTCTGAGGTACTTGATTTGTGTTTGGGGTTAATGCTTGATGCTTTTTGGCCATTATAGTACTTTATTATCATCGTCGTCAGTGAATGAAGATCATGAAAACAATATAGAAGATATACAGAATCATATGCCTGGCACCATCGATATCCCAAGGTTTTCCTTTTGTGACCTCAGAACACAGGAAACTACAGACAGACAGTATCACTTATTTACTTACACATTTAATTTTAGATTTTAAAGTTGACGTGTGGGACTCATTGACGGTCCTCACCAGGAAAACAAAAACATATCTCGACTTTAGAAAAAAGAGGTTGTAGCCCTAAAGTTTGAGAAATTGAAAAAGTTCATTCCACTGGAATCCTACAAGACATGAATCGGAATAGGATTTGAATCCATTGGAATTCAGTGTAATGGAACTGAACTGAAAGTGTTTCAGTGTATGAAGGGAATGAATGGGGATTGATTTGGAGGTCTACACCACTTCATGGAAGTGGATTAATACATTGGAATTCTGTGTGTTTCCAGTTAATGAGAATTGCTCTCAATAGTTTCTAGCATACCTGGTTTTCCCCTTCTGTTTCCTCCCCTCCTCCCCTCTCCCCATCCTGAATCCTGAAATGATTGAGCTTGCAGGTTCTGTAGGATGCACAGGCGTGCTAAGCAGTGTTTTGAGTGAGACACAGGAAAAGCTGTAAAGATATGGGTGGGAGTAAGCTCACTCTGCTTTCCAATAATGTCACCGCAAAGAACGCCAGGTTAAAACATTTTCCTTTTGAAGCCAGTGTTGCAAAATGAAGCTTTGAAGGAACAAAGCTTTGTCCCAACTCCCTTCCCCTCCCCGCTCTCTCCCAACCCCTTATATTTTAGTCCAATTGAATGTTCTATTCTTTAGCGCTAATCGAACCCTGACCTGGTAAGCACAACAAAGAGTTGTATGGTCTGGGCAGGGAGTGCACACTCTCCAGCCTCTTCACTGTAGGTAGACGGTCTTCCTGTTCGAGAGGTACTGAGACTCCTCATTCTTGTAGCGAACGGGACTAATTAGTGCCCGAGCATGAATACATTTCTCACTGCACATTGCTTTTGAATACAACATCAAAGGAACAACTTCCTTTTGTGGCTTTTTTTTCCCCCTCCCTCTCTCTCTTCCAAGATCTATGTAAATAACTAGTGGTAGAATACAATTCAGACAATGTCTAAACACGGTGGTGGAAAGAAAATTATCTGTACCATTCAAGTACCGTGATGCATGGGTTAGAATGCTGAATAGGCCCAGACATTAACAGAAACCCAATATATGCCCTCGGTGCGATCGCTTGTGATAAAATATATCCAGCTCCAAACTAAAAATGAGAGTTTAGCACCAAGAATCCCAACATCTGTGTTGCCTGAAGCAGAACAAATGGCTAAGTCCAAAAAGGTGAAGTTGTGTCCAAGCAATCCGTGCAGCCCCTTCATATCCACTCGGAAAGAACGTTATCACTTTGTGCATCTGAAGTACAGCAGCCGTCTGGAATGGACTGATGTCCTTTGTGCAGCGGATTGTTCTTCTGTATTGAATAAGTATTGTAATAGTCGTAAAAGCAGCCCGGTTGAGCCAGGGGATAAAAACGCAACTGATTTGAAGTACTATTACGATCATAGCTTAGTCTTCCTAAATGCCAAATTGGATTTCCATTTGCTTCCATTACAAGGACACTTGCATGCTTATATTACTGATTTGAGCTATAAGTTGAGACATTAAGAGGAAACATTAAGTAGGTATCCCACATCTGCCCCTGAATTCAACAGGTTGTGGACTTCTCGTACATTACGAGTATTTTGTTACTATTTTTCTCTCTGGGTTATTTGCCTCTCCAGGAGGTATTTTGCTCCATAGGATCTGATCTCAGCCGTGGCCATTTTTCATGTGTGAGGCAGGGCAGTTAGTATTGGCAGGCTGTTGCGCTGCAGGAGAATTGGGCAGATCACAGCTGAGCCCTCACACATATACAGACACTCACTCATGTGCACACTGATGCACCTACACGCAATGCTAACATGCATTCACTTCTAGCAGGATTTATTGGGTAGAGGGTCAGAATCGGGAACCCTTGCTGATTTTCTTCTCCCTAATCCAGAGCTCAGGCCAGTTACAGTATTCTCAGTGCTTATCTGGCCAGGACCAGCACAGACCAAGAATTAAACCTGGGGCCTTGCTGGTCTGTATGGCTCAACTACTCAGAGGATTAACTCATTGAGCCATCAAGGTGGCCTGTATTTGACTTGTACAAGACATTTAACTGTTTGCTTGCCTCGAAAGGGGTGGGTGAGAATAGAGACTTACAGGAAGCTGGATGCCATCCACGTTATACTAGTGTTTATCTTTTATTAGCATCAGACCATTAAACAGTGAAAGAAAAACTTGATGTCCCATTCAGAATGTATATTGATCTGTGGAAACTATGGTACAATAACAAGGTGTGAAAAATGCATTCATAATCGTGAGCTACCCAGAACACCTCCATTAAAAACAAGCCTAGGTGATGTGATCCTCACGCACGCTTCAAACCACATGAAAGCAAAACTCCAGACTCCAAAAAAATATCAACAGCATGTCATAGACAAACCACTCCTTTAGAAGCTGTCTCTAAGCACCGATTCATTTTTGTTTTATCTTCTTCATCTGCAGAGTTTAAAAAACAGTCTCAAAGTGGATGTTTTTCATCTGTACCTGGTAACGGTTGTTAAAGGGGAAGGTAACTTTCCAAACAAATTCCTTTGAACATAAAGGGTTTGCCCCTTAATGTGTTCCGCCTGATTACTTGTCATTTATGTCAAGCAATTTCTTTGAAATCCTGTTTTTTTAAGAGCTTCTCTGGGGAGCCTGGAAGATGCCCATCTCCTTGAGAAAAAAAAGTCAAGTGAACAAACCTGACGGTCAGCCTTTTGTCTCCAAACGTTGCTGTCTCAGTTGCCTGTTAGTCCTGGCGAAAATACACAGGTAAAACTCTGCGTCAACACAGGGAGCCCTGTTTTTTTAGTTATGGCTAATTTTGTTCCTTTTCTGAACATGGTAACTCTGCTGGAGTTATGGCTGGGTGGCACTGGGCGTCCTCCAGTAACTACTCCAAGTTACCATTCTTCATGGGCAAGACTCGAGACTGTGAGTGCTGACAGACTGTTTGCCAATGGAGAGTATCATTGTGCTCACTTAATGTCCATTCCAATACAGTTTACAGAGCAGTCAACGGTTAGCGAACAGGATTCAGAAAACCAACTGATTTATTTAAAACCCACCTCATGACTTACCTCTTCGACCGCACCTATGGTCACCCCCCCCCTTTCTCCCTTGCTCGGTGTCCATCCCTGCCACTGTGCAGCGCTTGGATGCTATCCTGTGTGAAGGGTGCTAAAAAAATACAAGTTGTTGTTGGTACATTGCTTCTCCCCATCCTTCCTAGCCTAGGACACTGAGGCCAGGATTCATTTCTGTGACTTCCGTGTGATTGACATGGGTGCCACACAGTGGCTTTGGCCATTAGGGAAGCTGCTTGGAGAGTGCTGTTTGATTGAAATGGGTTTTCACGAGCTTCCAGTACTGGATTTAAAACATATCGATTGTCATGTGATTTCAGTCAACCTGCAGGAAGCAGTGTGACCTCATGATGCCCTGACAGAAAAGCTGCTAACGTCCTCCGACAGAGGTCAGTGATTGCTTCCAGTCATTGAGGAAGCCACTACTTGGAAGCTAGATTTTCGTACACAGTTACAAAAAAAACATCTTTCATGCAGAAAGCACGCTTATAGCTTGACACTGGGGGAGTATGAATCCCAGTACTTTGAGGTTAGCCTATCCTTGCGACTGTTGTGCAGGATTCATTTATCACCAGATTATGATATTACAGTGTTTGGTACTGGATGAAATAGATAGGAATGGAGAAGGTCCTTGATGTTTAATATGTGGCTTCTCTGGCCAACATTCCCTTCCTCCTTGAAGGATTTGGACCCTATTTTCCTCCTACCGGGGTCCTGTTCCACAAGCATTGATTGTCCTCTGGTATCTCTTGCCAGTTTTTACGTGTAAATGTTAGTATGGAGTTCGAGCAGACTATTTGGCCACTGGGGACGTCACAGCCAAGCCCCAATCCTGTCTTCAGCTAACACTCGCACACGTGCACATTTCAGCAGGGGTCACTGAATTGCGATCACAGCCAGGAATCCTGGGCTGATTTTCTCTACAGCCTAGCCCTGAGGCAAATTAGTGACGGTGGCTGAGTGAGCACAGACTGAATCTAGGAGGCTTCCCAGTCTATATGACTCACTGACCCAGAAGTCCCGATTTTTCATCCCGCCATTTGTATCGCTCGGTTATCTGCTTGTGAGTTCCGTCTAACAGGTGTAATGCAAACCTTGGTTATTTGTTTGCTATGTTTTGCTGCGGTACCGCTGAGTCAGATAAACGAGGTTCCTTTTAAACAGTTGCTCACCCGTTCTGATCCTGCACCACAGACAGAGCTTCTACTTTTTGCATTCAGGCACTGGTATCCACTCAGCCAGGTCCAGATGTACATTGCAGCCCAAAGGAATAGTACTAAAGAGTCAAGGGAGAGAGGGCCAGACACTGTTATAAAGGGAGTCTGACCCTCCATGTACAGTATTATTTCAGCCTGAAAGATTGATGTAAAGCATTACCTGTATCCTGCTCCACTCAGTTCAAGGGTTCGTTCAAGATTTCTATCATCTACTACCTCCCAGTAGATCATGGAAATCTGAACATGATAGTATAGGAAGTGGCCTCTAACAATTGTAATATAGTTACCATAAGAACAAACCTCAGTTATTTGTTTGCTTTATTTTGGTACAAGGATGTAAACAAGGAGGTTCCTTTTAAACAATCGCTCACCTGTTCCGAATGGGCACAACAGACTGAAAATGCCAAATAAAAAGTTTAATTCTTCCTTTCATTCTTCCGAACTTCCCTCCTGTATTTTGTGACCAAACTATGAGTAATCCAGATTCTTTCTCCACGGAAGTGACAGCAAATAATTTAATAATCCTTGCGTTTGATATAGCGCCTTATTACATCATTGAGAGTTCTCAGAGTGCTTTAATAATAATAATAATAATCCTTGCATTTGATATAGCGCTTTTCACGTCTTCTAGACGTCCCAAAGCGCTTCACAGAATATACTGTAAAGTGAATTGACTGTATACTTGTGGGCGAACGCGGCAGCCAATTGCGCACAGCAGTGTCCCACAAACAGTCATGGATTGAAAATGACCAATTTATTATTGTTTTGTTTTTTGGAGGGATTATTATTACAGGATATACTGCAAAGTGGATTGACTGTGTATTTTGTGGGCGAAGTGCGACAGTCAGTTGTGCATAGCAATGCCCCACAAATGGCCATGGTGTGACATGAGTGACCAAATTGTGGGCCAAGACACCAGGAGAAGCTCACTTCTCTTTTTGAATACTCCATTCCAAATATAATCCCTTCTCTTCAAATATTCCAAATACGATTGACAAATATATTGGTTATATTCTTTATATTTATTCTGTTTTTTTTAAATTTCCCAAGAAAAAAAAATTAACTCTAATTTTACCTACTTCCACTTGTCTTTCTGAAAATTAGGTGCTAATTTGAAGGTTTAACACTTAGGCAATACTTAAAGGCTTGGTCATTGGGTGTCTGTCACAAGTAGAAAACCATCACCATGCTCAAGAGTATTCAAACCAGACTGGGAGTTCCACATATGTATTCCACCAACAGGTGAAAATTTCCCTGGGTCTGTAATGGCCACAAATTAAAAATGTTCAAGAGTGATGTATATTAATAATAATTCTTTCATTTGATATAGCGCTTTATCACATCTTCAAGATGTCTCAATGCGCTTCACAGAACATACTGTGAAGTGAATTGACTGTATATTTTGTTGGCAAAACGTGGCAGCGAATTGCGCACAGCAGTGTCCCATAAACAGTCGTGGATTGAGCGACCAAATTTTTTTTCTGAAGGGCTTATTACCTCCGGAAAAGTGATCCATCAATCGACTGACAACCAGATTCCTACTTACTGCTAGGTAAACAGAGGTATTTGGAGTAAGGAAACTTGCCCAATGTTTCACTCTGCCCAGGAATCAAACCCAGGTCCTCTCAAGACTCCACGTTATACACGACTCATAAGAACATAAGAATTTGCTAGGCGAAAGAGGACCAAAGTCCCATCTCGTTCACCATCCACCAACCTGGCATTCGCTTGTCATATCATGTCCCAAGTACATAATAATATCCCAATATATTATTTTCTAATAATATTGACTCATTCCTCTTTCTCAATGGTGATGGAACACTAAGGAAGGGAATCAGCCAATTCTAATGGATCCCCGGGAGCATGTGTTGAAGGCAGCGATCATATTTAGTAATAATAATAATGCTTGCATTTGATGTGGCGCCTTATCACATTGTTGAGATGTCTCAAAGCGCTTCACAGAGTTTGCCCCTCATTTGGACTCTGTGTACAAGAAGGATTGCTGCATGTGGAGGAAGTACATTTTAAAGATACCTACGTGTTGTGAAAGCAGTATAGAGCAAACCCTTTACCTGCCTGATGATATCTTTAAGCTAAGAGTGTCCAGTGCTCATGCTGAATAGGAATCTGGGGTTGGTCTTTTGGAGTTTAGGGTGAGAGGAATGAATTACAAAATGTAGTTCTTAATTTTTGATCCTAGGTTGCCGACGGTTGGTGGGATTGTCCTACGGCAAGGCCAAGGTGTGTGCTTATAGTGGCTGGTACTACTGCCAGGTGTGCCATGTGGATGATGTCTTTCTGATCCCTGCTCGCCTGGTTCACAATTGGGACATCACCAAACACAAGGTGCGTGACTCACTTACAAGGAAGAACAGCTTTCACACTTTCCACTGCTTTCTGCCCCCATGGCCCCAGTGATGCAGTGGTCAGAATTCGGTGCACCAAGAACTGCACAGCCAATTTCCTGCCAATTTGACAATGTCTTCTTTCACAGACTGATCAGCTGTAAGGTTGATGGAAGTTACGATCTGAGTGTGATTGGTATTTGCCAACTGGTCAATCAGATACAACACACAGTGACTTTTTCAGTGAATCCCAAGCCCATTTTATTTTTTTTGTCAATTTTCTGCCCACTGAATGCACCGACTTGTTCTGGAAGCAGTGATTCACAGGCACAGCCAGACCTCTCGTACCTCATCTGAGTAGCCGTGCTTCATGTGTGAATTAGATAGTGAGTGTGGGCAATGTAATCTACCACACTCCTGTAATAACCCAATCATCACTTCAAATGCACATTCCACCAGTGGTACTGAATAGTAAGCAGGAAAGGCCACCCTGGCTGATTTTTCTCATCCCTAACTCAGAGGGTTAGGAAATTGTAGCACCAAAACTGCTTATTGGGTTGAGAGCAACTAAGTCACCAAAATTCTAATATGCCGAGTACGCCTAGTATGTGGGTTTTTATTCAGTCCACATTGACAGGATGAACATCTCTTTGAAGATTCTCAGTGAATTAAAACTGGGCCACTGGAGAGCCTAAGTCTCGAGCACAACCACCATCCATGTTAGGGATGTCTTATTCAGGAAACCCAAAAGAAAGGTGTTTTGATCAATGGTAGAGGATGGTGGACTTGGGTTGCTCTGAAGGTACCTACAGTTATGAAAGCAGTACAGAGAGAACTTCACCCTTTACCTACCTGTTGATATCTTTAAGCTGGGAGTGTCCAGTGCTCATGCTGAATAGGAATCTGGGGTTGAGTTTTTGGGGTGAGAGGAACGAAAAGAGCATCCCATCTTCCAGTGTTGAATGTATTCACTTTGAGCTTTAAAAAAACCAAATTGGTACGTAAGAATAAAAGTCCAGTGTGCACTCCTTGGAGTTGAATGCTCTAAGTGCCAGTTTGTACCCTCTGAAGATCATAAAGAGATGCAGCTGGTTTGTTTTGACTATACTTTCTAATCCTTGTTTGACAATCCTGTCCATAATGCATTCTAAATTGATACACATTAGCTGTCAGGTCTGCTGCGCTTGACTGGCAGTACAGATGCAAACAGGAGCTCCATTGACAGTTCAGCAGGATATATTGGAGAGGAATGAATTAAGAGAGGGTGCGGGGGGGAAGAAGGGAGAGAACAGTTTGCTCTGTTCCTGAGATATCATCATTCCAAAATGGTGAGATCTGTTCTAGTGATTATCTCTTCCAGGCCCCTCCTGCTTTCTGGTCTACGTAGCTATAGATTGTTGTTTTGTTGTTGATTGTTGGCATAGACAGAATCAAAACGAGTGTGAGCTCAATGACGCAATGTTGCAGTTACTATTGCACTCTCTGAGGAAGTGGATTTGGAACCCATTGCTCTTTTATCTCCTGGTTCTCCTCTACAGAAAGGTTAATATCAGTACTGACAGAGTCTTTTGCTGGGCAGGTATAAGAATATGTAAAGGGAAATTCTTGTTGAGGTGAGCGACCAGCATTGTCTCAGCCGTGAAGTGATTGAACAATATTATTTGGGGCATTGGTGGCCAGGATCATCAAAAAGTCAGTGTTCATGTAGGACAGCGAACAGGTGAATGACAGTGTAGGACTTACTATTTTGCTGCCTCTATTGTAAAAATATGTGTAAATATTGCAAATGTTTCGCAACATCTAATGGTGAAAAGTATGTGGGTCAAAGTTTCAAATTGGACATTGCTAGACATTGGTTTCATTTGGCTATTGCATCATTTTCTTTCAAACTCATCTTACTTAACCTTTGCAGGTTTCAAAGCAAGCGAAGGAGTTCCTGGAGTATGTCTATGAAGAGCCGCTCATTGATATCCAGCACGAAAATCCAAATCTGTATGAGCACGTAGAGGCACTGGCTGCTGTCCTCCGTGTGCGTCAGCAGCTGAAGTCACTGAGAGCCTATCTGTTCAGCTGCCGAGCCTCAGTGGCAGAGGATTTGCGCAGAAGGTACAGTTGCTGAATCTGGACTGTATATTTTATGTTGCATTTAGTTTAGCACCTTTATCACATCGATGAGACCTCTCAAAGCCCTTGTTAGAATTTACTGGAAAGTATAATTGCTGTGTATTTTGGAGGCGAATAACGGTAGCCAGTTTGCACATAGATATGTCCCACAATTCACATGAGTTGAATTGTTGGCCAGGAGACAGAGAGAAACTGCTTTCTCTTTTCAAATAGTGCCATGGGTTCTTTAACCTGAATAGGCACAGACAGGACACATAGTTTAACATCTCATCTGAGGGATAGCACCTCCAACAATACATCGCTCTCCCAGCATTGCACTGGAGTACCAGCCTAGACTGAGTCCTAATGTAGGCCTTGAACCTACGACATTCTGACTCAGAGGTGAGTCAGAAGCTCAAACCCTATCCGGAATGGTACAGCACAGACACAAGCCATTTGGCCCAAATACTCCATGCTGGATCTAGCTGTTGTGAAACATAACTGACAAAACTGCATGCCATACTGTTGCAACTTGTTTTAACATTGCTCATTTGGGTGTTGTATTTTATATTGAGAGACTCCTACAATTTATTAGACTGCTCTTAAAAGAAACCCTCTTGTTGTTCATTACCCTGTTGTAACTAATGTCTTAATGTTACAAACTCTCCCCTTCCTGTCACATGAATAACAGTCATACGAAAGGAATTAGCAATGGTTCTGATTAGGTAAATATCCAGTTGATTAACACTGTTTCGTAAAAGGAGGTCAAACCTTTTTGTATCATCACCAAAAAAGCCAAAAAGACAGGTTGGAATTTTTTTCTTACACTGAGGGTAGAATGCCCAGAACAGTGGATAAAAAGCAGAATCTATAATGGCTTTTAAAAAAGCAATCAGAATTATGTAGGATAATGGTTAGAGCACTCACCTCACAAGCAAGAGGACCCAGGTTCGATTCCTGGACAGGGCAAATCTTTAGGCAAGTTTCCAATTAACGACCTTATATGCTGTAAAAATTGTCTGGAATAAAAGATTGGAAAGAGATCTGATCGGAAAGATATAATATAAAGGGAAGAGGAGCCCTGTTTGATAATTTCTGCTGGAAAGTACATGTGTGAGGACATCAAGTGGGGGCATGATCAGGCTTGACTGTGGTCAAAGACCCTGTCTGCTCTGTTCACTGCCTCACGTAGACTGCTCACTTGGGTGAGGTATACCAGTGTTGACTGAATCCCAGCAAGAGTCTGCAGAGTTTTGGGTGAGCTCAGCTTGATTGAACAGTACAGTATTTTGCAAGTACAGTATATGAATTTTACATCAATTATCCTTGAATTTGATTCTAATTAACAAACATACCTGCCATTTGATCTATGTATTAGCTTTGGGGAGTTGATCAATTAAAGTGATAAGTGACTTGGTGCTGAATATGTTGCTCAGCTGGAGATTTAAATGGCAGCAGAGGGAGCAGTTTAAGGTTTAGTTTGATTGGCAGAAATGAATGAGGCTCTTGCCAGGCGATTGAAAAGTTTAGAAGAACTTTGGAATTGACCGCAACTGGAATTCAGAACCAGCGAAAGCTAACTATTATTCATTTATTTTGCCAGATTGACTTGGAAGACTTATCTGGGTTAAGAACGTATAAGTTTTAGTTCTAATTTGATCTAATGCTGTACAGCATTAATCTACAGTGTTGGGTGACTGCACTGCTCTCTCCACAGTCACAGAAGATATTGAGAACTAGCTACACGGAGTGAGTTGTTGGCCACTCAAATACAGCCCACTCCTACACTTTGTTGTAGCTAGTAAAAGAGGCAACCTCTTTGGTGGGGGGTGGGGGAGTGGCGTGCGTGAGAGAGTTGCCTAAAAAAAGACCCACATACTTGCTCATTGATGGGTGACATTACTAATGGTGGTGTTGCTCTTTCCTGGTTACATAAACTGAGTTCTCTTCAATGGAGCTGGTTTTGAACAGTTCTTCTATTTCTGCTCTACAGAGCCCCATGCAAGTCTAAGATGAGTGAAAATAATCAGTACACTGGACAAGAATCCACAAGACCATGAGGGGCTTGAATGAGGTTCTTTGGTCTATTTGACACACAAGACTTCCCTTCTTTTTTCATATAGTGCTTTGGGATCTTTAACAACCACCTGAACAAGCAGGCAGGACCTCAGATTAATGTTTCGTCCCAAGAATGGCACCTCCAACAATGCAGTGCACCTCCCAGCATTGCTTTGGAGTGCCACCTAGGCTATGAGCTCAAGTCCCAATGTGGGATTTGAACCTGCAGCCTTCTGAGGCAAAGGTGCTACTAAAAGAGCCAGGTCAATAGAGTGACCCCATCACTCCCACCCTCGCCTGACTCCACTGGCTCCCCATCCCCCAGAGGATCTAGTTCAAGATTCTCGTTTTCACGTTTAAGGCCATCCATGGCCTTGCCCCCTCCTATCTCTCTGACCTGCTGACTCCCTACCAACCTGCCCACTCACTCCGTTCAGCAGGCTACAGACTCGTACCCACCCTCCCTGAATTAATTGTCTGCGAGTTTAAGCAACGTGGGCATTATATATTAGCAGATAATAATTTGATTTCAAGTTATGACAGGAGCATAATGAAAAGGGAACACAGACTACAAGAAGTAACATTGATGTGCAAATGGCATTAGCACTCAAACCATTCAGGGTGATCACGACAATGATGTTGGCCCATTCATCCTCTGTCTCAGGTGGTGCATGTTTGCTGCTAAACATGGGCCTCATTAACATTGAGGATTGTTTTTACAATTCCAGATTTTAAAGCTGCCATAAATACGGCTAATTTGTAATTTCTAAAGCAACCTTTCCGTATCTCACCCTTTCCAATTTCACTCTCGTCTCCTGAAGACACTGACTCAGCAGGCTCCCAGCTGGCTATTCTCCCTATTGAACCTGGGTTCAATTCCCGGCAGGGCGAAAAGTTGGGCAAGTTTCCTTACTCTACACGCCTAATAATAATCCCTCCAAAAAAACAAAAAAAACAATAATAAATTGGTCACTTCAACCCACGACTTGTTTGTGGGACACTGCTGTGCGCAATTGGCTGCCGCGTTTTGCCCACAAATATACAGTCAATTCACTTTACAGTCTATTCTGTGAAGCGCTTTGAGACGTCAAGAAGACGTGAAAAGCGCTATATCAAAAGTATTATTATTATATTATATGTCACACAGATCATGAGTATTATGAGTCTGTCTGACTGTGGTGTGGCATCACTGCTGATCCCAATCAGGTCCTTGATCGACAACCAAACTTTCCAGCAAAATTCAGTATATAGCAATCAGCAGAGGATGGCACATTACACAGGGAAGCTGCGCTGGTAGTGGGGTGGCGGGAACGGGATAGCTTACATTTTAAGTTGTTCTGGGAGAGGGGCACCTCTCCTAGGGGAACAGTACGAAGGGAGGTGTCAGCCTGACTGAGATGGTAGCAGTCTCGCCTCTGAATCGCTGTACGTCTTAAGTCTAAGATGACATTGGGGTGTGTTGCATTGTTTGAGGTGATGTCTTTTGTGGAGACGTTAAACTGAGATCCCGTGGTTTACCCTGATCTGAAAATTGAAGGTTTCTTAGAACTGTTCAAAAGGAGAAGGAGTTTCTCTTGGTGTCCTGGGCAACAATCCCAAATAAAACTGATCATTCACTTCATAATTGTTCGTTGGGCATTTTTGTGCGCAAATTAGCCTGCACAATACACAGTCACAAGACTCTAAATCCTGTGAAGCGCTTTGAGATGTCCGCTGGATGTGAAAGGTGCTATATCAAATGCAAGGATAATTATTATTTGAGTAGCAGTACTGGGATTAGGAACATTATCCAGGGAGATGTTCTGAGAGAGGGCATTACCCCAAGGAGCTGTAACATCAGCAGGCGATGTGAAAGCAATGACAGTCATTATAAAGGGGACATTAGGGTTGTAATGTTTACTTATTAGGGAAACCTTTATGTGGGTAAAGAAAAAGGGAATGATTTCTGTAATCTGGGTGGCCTTTGCTCCTCCCATTATTCCAGTAAAAAGTGGAGTCGGCAAAGCTCTTTAATATTTATAAGATTGTGTCAGCGCCAACCACTTGGCACTGCATCTTCTCCAGAGACAGATGAGGTAAAGCTTTTGACATTAGAATTAATAACAGATTTTACATGAAATTCAATTAACCTCTCGTTTCGAGACCATTTTAGTGGCAGTGTTTCTGTGGAAACAGGGATTGATGGTTGGGGAAGGAGAGAGAGAGAGAGAAAAGCTGCCAAAAGATTCCTTTCTGAGCGTGTGCAGCTGCAGGGTCTGGTTGTGCACTGAGCTGGCCATTGTGGAGCAGCTCTTGGTTTAGATAAAGGAAATGCACGCTGGGAGTGTACGGTAAAATAGATATTCTCTGCAGTGTACACTGTGAACAAGTGACGGATGATCACACAGTCCCACTGCAGATGAGATCGAGCTCCTTGGTTCAGTTTTGTTATCACTGAACACGATTCATTACTAACCCGGCTTCCTGACTTCCGAGCGCTTGTAAGCCCCCAACAACCACGTGCTCGTCAGACCTATCGTCACTGTGGTTCACGGGAATGTTTGGCAAACTACAGCCAATTAGTGCCGTGTTAAGGAGAGTTTTATTCAGAAGGTTCCCATGCGCAGGTATGTCACCGAGACTTTCCAAGTCACATTTGTAAATCTTAATTCCCAACATCCCACTTTTGATCTCTCGTCAGTGTTTAGTTGATTGGGGTTAGCACTGCTGGGGGACACTGCAGGAGAGTCAATTCACTGGGGAAGGCAAAAATTACCAGTTTCCTTTTGATCGGGAACTCCATCCCACGGTCCCTTCGCATCACTTCCTCCCTTGCCTCCTTCAAGGTCGGTCTCAAGACTTTTCTCTTCGACTGTGCCTTTGGTCTCCCTCCCACCTCTCTGCCTTTCCTGACCCCTACACCACCCCACCTCCCCCATGCTCGGGCCTCGATACCTGACTGTTCAGCGCTTTGGGATGTCCTCCCGACGTGAAAAGCGCTCTATAAATGTAATTTTGTTGTTGTTGTGATCACTGTCAAGTCTGGCTCAGTGTGTACTTGTGCCTATCTCGGTGCCTCTGGGTGGGTGCTCAAATGATGTGTGTGTGTTGAGTGCTCAACGTGGTGTGTTTAGCTGTCTGATTGTGTTTAGCTCTGTGTGCATGTGGGGTGGGAAGAAGCTGCCTTGCTGTCTGTGTGGGGACATTGGGTGGCAGCAGGATTGGACTCGACGTCATATAAATTGCTTGCAATATATTGTTGACATCACACGTTAAGAATGGGCACTTGGGCAATATATTGGAGCCCATAGAACTGTGCCTTCAGTACAGGAGGGGAAAGAAAGCAACCCAAGGACATTAAAAACATAACTTTATTTTGCTCTGATTTTGAAGGAGGTCTTGATGATGGCATCTGCTGTTTAAGTTCAATCAGGTGGATTAAAGAAGTTGTAATTAAATTCACATTTTTGTAATCCCGAAAGCCTCATCACACTGCTTTTCCTTTTACTCCTTTAGGATTTTTCCCAGGGAATACATTCTGCAGCATGTGCACCTGTACTCCTTAGCTGACCTCCAGCAGGTAGGTAGCTTCTTTTCTCCACTTTAATGACGAGCGCTGCATCGTTGAACAGTAATGTTCTCGCTCCAACTAATCTGGATCAAACCTGTGTGAGCTGCCACTGTACATGTGTTAATAGTCCCCAGAAACTTTGCAAGCCCTGCCAGTAACTGTTGGCTGGAATATTCTACAGGGGATTGGGCGGGCGGATGGGGGAGGGGGGAAGAGGCTTCTTAAAATGTTACCTATTTCCAGTACTTTGTGTAAATGTTTAACATGCTGAGTCTCGGTCATTTTACTCAATGATTAAAAATGATTGTTGTGGGAGCAGCCAAAGTTACTTAAAATGGGCGGAGGGGGGAGAGAGAAGCAGAGTTAGTCTGGAGAATATTCCATAACAGAGGAGGCTGCCTGTCTCTGAGAACTGCTAAATTATCGCTGCTAAATTTGCTTTCGATGTAGCAAAGGGCCCAATTTCTCCAGGATATGCAGAACATACAACGATGAGTTACCCTAAGCTGCTTTCACACAGCTTGTTCAAGCTGAGTCCAGAACCAATTAATAGATGAATAGATGAAGAATATTTCAGTGACAGAACCTGTGAGTTCTGTCCCTATGGAGACGAGAGCCTATTTTAGTGTATTTGACACATTGATGGGTGGCATTTCAAAAGCACAGAATAGAAATATTTTATAAATTTGCTTGTTGTTTAACAATTCATAACTTTTTTTAGAAAAAACTATTCACTCACCCACAGCTGCAAAATTAAAGTTTAACCCAAGTGACTGCATACTAAACAATGCTGCAATGCACTATTGGAAAGGAGTTGCTGCCAGGTGGGTTGGGAAGGAGCAGCAACAGAGCGCAAGAGAATAAACAACATTAACCTATTTCAGTCATATTCTGCATGAGCTCGGAGATATGTGAGTACAGAGGCATCACAGGGTGTGCGTTCACACAGCACAGGGAGGCAGCACAGGCCCGTAAGTTCACTCAGTGCAGGAAGGCAGTAAAGAGTTAAATTGTCTTCGGTGGAGGCTTGGGAGCTGTCACTTTGCCCTACAATTGATAAGGAAACCAGTTAATGACAATGGAAAGGCTACAGATTGGTGTGGTAGTTGAGTAAGTGGCTTAATCGGATGGAAATATTTGTTGTAGGGACGGAGCCAATCAGCAGCTTATCGGACGCTCGGTGCTGTTGGACCCTGTTCAAATGATCAGGTTGTTTATTCAGAAACCAGCTCAAACCTGTTCTTCGGTTTTCCCTGCTGTTCAGTCTGACCTGAATCGAATCAACAGACCAAATCAGAATCCAATCACCTTGTGCACATAGGAAGTGGCACAAGCAGTCCCCAAAGCTGCCAATCACTGGCTTTAAACCATGATATGCATAAGCAAACTTTACACATTATAGATTCTGTAGAGTATTGGTTAGAGCACTTGCCTCGCAAGCGAGAGGATCCGGGTTTGATTAACGATAGAGTGAAACCTTAGGCAAGTTTCCTTACTCCACACGTCTGTTTACCTAGCAATAAGTAGGAACACGGTTGTTAGTTGATTGGTGGATTGCTTTGCAGAGGTAATAATTCCTTCAAAAAAAATAATTTGTTGGCTCATTCCATGGCTGTTTGTGGGACACTGTTGTGCTCAATTGGCTGCCATGTTTCGCCCACAAAATAAACAGTCAATTCACTTTACAGTATATTCTATGAAGCGTGTTTTGAGACGTCTCAACGACGTGATAAGGTGCTATATCAAATGCAAGGATTATTTATGTAGTGAAAATTGTATTACGTTTTCTAAAACAAAACTTTGATTCACCTCATTTGAATTCAGCAAAAGCCAGCTTTGGTTACTGTAAAAGTGTGACATGGTGATCCTTCGTTATTACGTAGATACCTGTTACAGAGCTCTTCAGTCTGGCGATTCAGTGCTGATTATCCAGCTTCCTGCCCAAAAAAGTGGTCAATGGCCAGATTCTCCGGTGGCCACTGACATCACTTCCCATATCTGCGTCACTAAGGGCAGGAAGCACCACTGAAGTCACTTTGTGAAGTTTGTAATGTTAGCAGCACCTCCTGTGCATGTTCGCAACAACGTGGGAAGTAACATTAGTGGTAACCTAATCGTCCAGCAGTCGGTCATTTTTAGCGTATAACCAGGTCCCTGCCCTGTAACAAGGTTCACGTATATATGGTAGACGTGAGGTATGGTTCCTCCCCCGCTGCTCCCTGATTCAATTAACTGCCCCACCACCCCTCCCCCAATCTCAGCCCTCTAGTATCTCACCCACTTGTGCAATATGAGTTGTCAAATGGGTGTTATTTATTTATGCCTCCAATTAATGACTCAGTACTGAGCAGGGTCACCACTTAGGTACATTTGTCTCCCTCACTGCTGGGTTCTATGGAGAGAGCCACAAGCTCAGAGAGAAGAGACGGTCCCAAGACCCTTAATGCTATTCCCCCTAATGTAAACATTCAGTGACTTGTAAACAGCAGGAATATCTAGCTTGACAAGCTTGGGGTGCTAATGGGAAAGCTGCTGATAATCCCAGGCTTATAGTTCTCATTGACTGTCACAGTCAGGCACTCTTATCTCATCTCTAGGCCACCCTGCTGTATCTGAGCTGTAAACAGAGTAAACTCTGATCTTATCCAATCTGCTTCTGGGCCGGAAAAACGTCTTGCACCAAAGATAGCAGGTAAACAGGGAGGGGACCTTTCACGGCTCTGCATTTACAATGTGTTTATGGTGGCAATTACAGTTTGAATTCTGCACCAAATTTTGCATAAACCTCCCTTTGTTTATTACAAATTCTACCCCTTCCCAAATCCACCCTCCAGATCACTTGTTCGGAAGTGACATTAACACAATCCAGTTGAATCTCCTTGGGTAGGTTTCTTTGGAGTAAAGTGAACTGATTTGGAAGAATAATGGTCGTAAGATATTTGGTCTACGATTAAGGGGTCTTTCTAAAGGGATCTATATTTTAGGGCAATGAAGATTGACATGACCCCGTAATATAATGGCAATTCATCAACAACTGCAGTGGGTTACTTGAGCTTCTGTAAACCAAGGTACCAATTCTAAGTCCCACAACCCTCTGATCCAGAGCAAAAGTGCTACTAACTGTACCAGCATTTGTTACTGTATGTACATAGAAGAGACATCACAAGAGAAGTTTGGATTCAGCCCAATTGTTTTTCTTTGGTCAGCCGGGTGTCTGACCCATGCAAGAGTATCCAAACCAAACTGAGAGTTCCATGCATCCCACCTGTTCATGGAGATTCCAGAGATATTTGTTGGAATGGAGTGCACACTCTCTCCCTGGAGGGACGCATCCTACTTGCCTAATTCCAGAAAGTATTAGGTGTAATTTGGCAACAGCCAAGGCTTGGGGACCCCAGAGTATGTGTTGGGTTACTGCTGGAGTCTAACCAACTAAAACACCATAGCTTGCCATTGAAGGTATTGTCTCGCAAGCTTTCCCATTGTGTATCTAGCTAGGACCACTCTTCGCTGAGTGCGAAGAGATCCTACCCGAGTGACTGGTCTGCTGATGAGTAAGGCTGGCTGTTCTGTCAGCAGTGCCCTGAAGTATTTCAGACCTGCATGGCACCAAACTATCGAAAACCGCTACAGAGAGTTGGCTCGATTCGACATTCAGTTGCCAAATATGTCACCTTGGAGTCAGTTAAGCTCCAAGAAGGCCCCACTTACCTCTCCCCCCCCCGGAGGACAATTGGTTGTATGTTTGACATCTGAAAAGCACGGATTTGAGATCTTACTAGGTGGATGGTAGGTACCCATGTGACATACTTCCCATTGAGCGATGGTCCCACCATTTGGCTTGCTTCTGCAAGCCAATGAACAGCAACAGCAAATTACACTTGTAAAGTGCCTTTCACTTCAGGAGGACATCCCAAGGTGCTGGATAGTCGGGGATTTGGACCCAAGCAGGGGATTGGGATCAAGAGGATGGAGGGCAGGGAGGGTAGGGGTGGGAGGGTGGCCAAATAGCGGTCGAAGAGGAGGGTCTTAAGATGTGCTTTGAAGAAAGCAAGGGAGGGAGCAAAACAAAGGGATTGGGGAATGGACTTCAAAGACACAGAAGCTGAAGGCCCAACTGCCAACACTCTTTTACACTGACACTGGCTTTTAATTTAAATAATAATGATAATAATCCTTGGATTTGATATAGCGCTTTTCAGGTCTTCAAGACATCTCAAAGCGCCACACAGAAGAGAGTGTAAAGTGAATTGACTGTATATGTGTGGGTGAAATGCGGCAGCCAATTGTGCAAAGCAGTGTCCCACAAAGTCACAGATTGAGTGACCAAATTATTGATGCTTTTTTTGAGGGATTATTATCCCCGGAAAAACGATCCGCCAATCGACTAACAACTAGGTTCCCACTTACTGCTAGGTAAACCGAGGCGTGTGGAGTAAGGAAACTTGCCCAGTGTTTCGCGCTGCCGGGAATAGAACTCAGGTCCCTCTCTTGCGAGGCGAGTGCTCTAACCACTGAGCTATAGGCCTCCACTCAGTACTTGTTTTTTTCCGTAAATCATTGATGAAGCATGTTCACTCATGGCCTGAACAATGCATGTCAAAGATTGGCAATGGTGACGCAGTACTGACAGTACTGATGGTGACACTTGCTCTTTAAATTGGGGTGGTCCCACAGGACTGTTTGTAGTTAATGGCTGTTCTAATTAATGGCCTTCTCTACACCCAGGGCCTTTCGCTACTACATGCTTTTTGTGTTACCTTCAAAGACCAGCATTGCAGAGAGTGGGGTCCAGTCGACTGCACGCAAAGGTAAATGGAGATGGTCATTGTCTGTTAGATCTCAGCAGGTGAAATGCTACGTGGGAAGCTGTGAGCTGTCAAGCCGCATGACCATCCTCGCTTCTGAAAAGCAGCCGCTCGCCTCAGCATGAATGCCTGAGCCTCGAGACAGACTTGCAAGGTCACAGCATCGGAGGCTGTGCAAGCACGCCTCTCACGGGCGGGGGAAAGGGCGGGGGGGCTGGAGAGAGGTCCCATCCCCTCTCACCCAGCCCCTCTTTCATTATCCTACCCTCCCCCATTTGAGGCAAGATAACTAATTACAGCAATTCAAGCTCACCGGGCAGAAACACGATGCTTGACAGGCCTCGGACCGATTATTGTAATTCAGCTTATCCGTCACTGGTTTGCTGAAAACCTAGTCCGCTTTGAACTTAAAGGGGCCTGGGATTCTTCCCACTCTGCTGCAGCTAACCCTGCGGGCCAAAGCCCAACAGGTAGGGTGGTCCACAACATAAGATATAACATGATGTGATATTTCTTAATACAATTCCTTAATAACAACAACTTGCAATTGTATGGTGGGAGTCCTATAGCTCAGTGGTTAGAGCAAGTGAGAGACTTGGGTTCAATTCCTGGCAGAACGAAATCTTGCGCAAGTTTCCTTACTCCACACGCCTGATAATAATCCCTCAAGAAAAAAGTCAATAATAAATTGGTCACTTCAATCCACGACTGTTTGTGGGACACTGCTGTGCGCAATTGGCTGCCGTATTTCTCCCACAAATATACAGTCAATTCACTTTACAGTCTATTCTGTGAAGCGCTTTGAGACGTCTAGAAGACGTGAAAAGCGCTATATCAAATGCAAGGATTATTATTATTAGTGCCCTTCATGCATGTTAGATTTGGAGTGTTGAAATAATCCTTGCATTTGGTATAATGGTATCGTTGAGACATGATAAGACAGTGTATCCTATAAGTGCTTCACATGATATACTGAAAAGTGCAGTGACTGTGTATTTTGTAGGCGAAATGTGGCAGCAATGTCCCACAAACAGAGCGAGTGAGTAACCAATTTTTGTTTTGGGGAGTTTTTGGATAGGATACCAGAAGAGAGAAATCCCCTTCTGGCTTTGAATAGTGCCATGGGATCTTTAACATCCACCTGAACAGGCAGATGGGACCTGGGTTTAACGTCTGATCTGAAGACCGGGAATGCAACCCACCCCCCCCCCCACCCCCAGGTCTGCAGTGTCATCTACTATATGATTCCAAGTCAAATGGGGCTTGAACCCACAATCTTCTGACTCGGAGGCGAGTATGCTACTAGTGTGGCAGGCTGACACACCTGGAAGCTACCAGTAGTTTGTGAACTATGTCACCCCACCCTGATACAATCTACTTCTGGAGTAGAGTGCCCACAAATGATTCTTATTACAAGGAATCCTATTAAAATTCCAAATATCCNTTTTTTATAAAGGGAAGATTGTCTGTTAGTTTATATACATTGAGATAAGCCTTTGTACCCTCCCGTTTCATGCGATTCCTTTCCCTAGCTTAGTTTGGTTTGTTCTCAGATGAAGGAGGCCCTAAAGTCCATTTTTTAATCTCACCTTTTCAGAATATCCACTCTAATGCCCTTCCATTACACATCAAGTTGTTTCTTAATGAGCCCAGTGTCAGAGACTCACCACTCCCCAACCCACCTTCTTGGTGTGTCTCATGATCTGTGCTGAGTTATTTGCCCTCGGGACACCACAATTGGCCTTAACATCCTGAGGCTGGAGAGGGGAATATCAACCAGGGTTCCTGCTCCTGGCTCCTAATATCTGTGAAATGTATCTCCCCTGCTAATTGAAGATATGGAATGCAGATGAGGTGCATAGCTGTGTGTTCCTTCTCTTCCTCCTTTTACCCCCAACACATGGGGGAAAAAAATGCCAATATTCATTGCAGGGCGAAACCTTGGGCAAGTTTCCTTACTCCACACGTCTAATAATAATCCCTCCAAAAAAAACAATAATAAAATTGGTCATTTTCAATCCATGACTGTTTGTGGGACACTGCTGTGCGCAATTGGCTGCCACGTTCGCCCACAAATATACAGTCAATTCACTTTACAGTATATTCTGTGAAGCGCTTTGGGATGTCTAGAAAATGTGAAAAGCGCTATATCAAATGCAAGGATTATTATTATTATTGCCTAGATACACACATAAAGAATGGATGAGGGTCTGGAAGCTGATCATTGCCCATGGTGCCATACCTCAACTTAAGGCAGCACTTCCAGGAGATGAGGAGGGACATTTGGAAAGGGATGAAGAAAAGGGAGTTATTTTCTTCCTTGATACCAATATGGTGGCTTCTCCTTCAGCAGAGTTACTTGGAGTCCTGTAGTGTAGTGATTAGCACACTTGCCTCTCAAGCGAGGTGACCCAGGTTTGATTCCCAGTTGGGGCAAAACTTTAGGCATGCCTGTTTATCTAGTAGTAAGTAGGAACCCGGTCTATCAAATGCAAGGATTATTATTATTACTTAGGACCACTATAAAATGGAGGGTTAGTGATTCAGTCCTTGTGTACATACACAAGACATTACTACCAATCTAAATCAGTCCTATGATTCTCACGAATAATATCAACTTCTCCCAAACTCAGCAAGTCCAAAATGTTTCTGTCTGATTTCCAGTGTGTGTGAGCCAATGACCACCCAGCTAGTAGTTTCAGATATGTTTCCATTTCTTTTGATGGGGGAGAAGGAAGGAGGAAGAGTCTCTTCCTGGCTGGTGGTCTCTCTCTTTCAGGCCAAGCTGAGTAACCGGCTGGTCTGAGTGAACAGGGACAATCTGCAACACGGGTACTGCTGAAGAACCCTCTATTGTGGTCCCTTTATTTCCTTTAATGAAGTTGCTCAGTGCAGAGAATCTTATTCATTCAGGTATTGTTCCCCTTTACATTGTGGGATTGTTCTTGCTTGTACTGGATGAGGGTGCATTTTCCAGTTGTTTCTTCTGTGGCACACACAGACGCGCACACTTTTGCTTTCTTAAATTTCTTAATTTCTTGATTTCTTAAGGTGTCAAGTACTGAATAGCACCGATGGCATCTTTAATCGGATTCAGAACATAACGCAAACTTAATGTTCTGGATACGAATATTCTGTGTGCAGCATTCTGCTTTCATACCTACAACAATACAACAACAACTTGCATTTATACAGTGCCCTTCACGCAGGGCAGTGTCATGGAGCGCTTAACAGGGTTGTAGAGTAAGATCTTCAGTCACGATCTAAAGGAAGGGACGGAGGGGGGCGGAGGGATTGGGGGAGTGAGTTCCAAAGCTTCAGGGCATATGGTTGACAGCACAGTCGCCAATGGTGGAGTGCAGAGGACGAGGGTCTACAGGAGGAGGCCAGATCTACAGAGCTGTTAGTGACTGAGAGGGAGAGAAAATGTTCCTGTGAAAGTGTCAGTCTTCAACGAATTAGAGCAACAATGCCAGATAAATAGCAGCTGCTTATTTTTAAAATCCACCCAGTGTGGTATAATCCTAGTTAAAGAGTTTGAGCTCATCCTCTTCAGGGGAACAGTATCTCCGGAGCGTCACAGAGCCCATGACAATCCCCTCGCAAACCCATCCATTGTGTGGAAGAGATTATTCTCTCTATTTACAGATCAGATTTTAATTCCTTTCTCAAATTGTTCACGAACATGATGAGCTCTGTAACGGATCATTTGTGCAATAAATAAGTTTTGTCTCTTTTAAATAGCCTGCTATTTATCAAGTGCTAAGTACTTCTATATTCTGTACTTTGCTGACACTACATAGCTGAGCTTTAAGTAGAGGACTCATTCACCTGCTGCCAGTAGTGCGATCTTTAACTGATAGTTAGACAGGGAGTAACCTAATAATCCTTGTCTCCACGTTCTGCAGCTACTAAGGAATTATCGACACAAATGTGCTATTTCCATTATATTTTAATATCCTTTGGTCTGCTTTAATCAATGTTCCATTCTACTGGCTCATTTGGTAGCCCTCTCGCCTCTAGTCAGCAGGTTGTGGGTTCAATCTCCATGTTGGGATTTGAGGTCATAGGCTGACACTCCAGTGCAGTGCTCGGCGAACGCTGCATTTTTGGAGGTTCTGTCCTGTCTTGTAGTGTCAGTGGTTCCTCTCCTCAGCTGAGATCAGCTAATTCAGCACAGACTGGATTGAATGAACTTGGAATCTTGTAAATCTGTGTGGTTCACATTCTCTCATGTAAGCGAGGGTGTTTCCCAGTGTGTTTCTGGTCAGAGATTCATTATCACACCCACAATTCCTTTTTCAATCACTTGCCTGTAACCCTTTGTCTTTTATCGCCCAGGTCTTCGAAGGCAAGCTCACCCCATTTCTTCTGAAGGTCAACAAATTTGCCAGCGCTCACGTATATAGCTGCAGCCTGTGCAGCCAGAAAGGCTTCATCTGTGAAATCTGCAGCAATGGGCAAGTCATTTACCCCTTTGAAGGAACCGTCACCAAAAGGTAGGCAGCCTGTACCTGTTTTACAATTGCCAACATGAGCACCAAGTACCCTCTTGAGACCTAGCTACCAAGTTGCCTTTCTTCGTCTGTCTTTCTTTACTGGACAGTGATGAGGAGTTGTGGTCCTCATCTCTGATCTGAAATGCGGTTGCCCCCGTTGCTGGCCGAGCTCTGACCACATAACTCAGCATAGATTGGGCATATGTTTATTTAAGATACTGTAATGAGCATCCAAACCTCCCTCTGAACTTCCATGGACACAAAAATAGAGTTCTCCAACCTAATCCCAAAATATTGCCTTTTAACGATTCAGTAACCAAAGGGGTCAAATAATTGTCCATTCTTTCCTACTAATGTCACAAGCAGCCTCCTTACTAGCAATGACAAGTCTACTTTTTGTTTCATTCTTAAAATGTGATCCAAGGGCACAGCCGTTAGAGAAAATGTCCTCAAACTATCAAATTGTTCATGTTCCTTTCAATCCATACTTTACTTACTATTTCAGCTTTCGTGTTTAGGCAAGTTGACTTTGCCGGCTTTTGTCTTGCTGTCCTCCTGTGGGTGATTTCTCCTTGTAAACATTCCACTCCTTTTTGCTCTGGCCCCACGTCTATACTTTTGAAATGGCTCGGTCTTGTTAATAACAAAATGCCAGATGTTTTTCAGAATAGGAAGCTTGGTGAAATCCCCCCCCACCCCCCACCCCACCCCACCCCACCACCATCAACACACGCACATACTAATTCCATAATTCAGTCACAAAATGCACTGACGGATATGTTGCTCAACCATACTGACCAGGGAAGGCCCAGGTTCAATCTCTAGCCTGCTCTGAGTTCCCTTCTCTTGGCCGATGTATCAGTTGATTTACCATGGTTGGTCTCAGTATCCCTTGGGTAAGAAAGGGAGAAACATCAAGCAGAGCTCCTCTTTATTGCTAACTGATGGGGAATTGCGTTCGTGGGGGGGCAAGGGTGCGATAGCTGAGATTGGATCAGACTTAGCTGTAATTCCCTCTCCCTCCACAAATAGCCTGCTGAAACCCAGCTTTGTGGCTAATGAATGACAAATACAATACAAAATTGCATTTGTATAGCGCCTTTCACATCGGGAAGACATCCCAAGGCACTGGGCAGTCAGGGATTTGGACCCGAGCAGGGGGTGAATGGCTGCTTAGGGGAATTTGGGACCTTGCTGGCAATCGCAGAGCATGTGTTAGCACCTTTGGGAAAGGGCAGACATTAAGTAAAAAAACGAAATACGGAAATTTCTCACATTGTGTGTATGGGGGAGCTCAAAGCTGAAGAGATTGATTGATGTCCATACATGATATAAACTGAGTTTGTAATCTCAGACGTGTCGTTTTTCAAATGGAGGAGGTCAGTGAGAGGTACCTCTCCTGGGAACCATCCTCATGAGGTGCACGGTGATGAAAATAAATCTTCACTATCACAAAGTGGATTTCCATTTTCCAGCTTCTAGGTTCTGTCAACTTACACAAATAGCTTCAGTCTCAACCACTTCTCCTATCACTTGATCTTCTATTAGACAGCTGCTTTATACATGCTCACGGGAATCCAGGGATTTAAGGCTAGATAGATTGGAGCATAGAAAGTAATATTTGGAATATAATATAACAATCATAATCCATACATTTGGAAAAGCGCCTTTAATGTCAGGAGGATGGCTTAAAAACGCTTCACAGGATATACTGTAAAGTGTAGTGACTTGTGTATTTCATGGGCAAATGTGGCAGCCAATGACCCACAAACAGCTATGAAGCAAATTACCAATTGTATTTTATCTGTAACAAAAGTCATTCATCCCATCGAACTCTGCTGGTAACTCAGTATTCTTTGTGATGGATCGTTATCCATTGTAGGGTAATAGTTAACCCTCTGGAGATGTGGACACTCCTCAGTCAGACAAGAGTTTTCGAGCACTTAATGCTGTCAAACCGGTGTTCCATCCTTTATTCTGGCTTTGCTCTTGTTTGTTGGTAATGGGTCACAATCTGAACCCTTGATTGACCGCCCCCCCTACCCCCCCCATTGCATTATCATCTTTTGATTCTGCTGTCGCTTTGGTTGCACTGAATTTCCTTTGCTGTTGAACCTGGGAGGCTGGGTGAGCAACACACCTGTGCTAAGTCGGAGGGTGTGGCTCAATCACACAGCTGGGCTCTGCTTCAAAGAAACTAAATTTTCTAATGGATCGCCATTCATCCATTTATTCACGCTTAGTCATAAGTCTTGTTTGTGGTATTTCTGACAAATATCAGAGAGTATTGTTGGGCTGCACACTAAGCTAAACATGAATGAACCGCGCTCTCTTTGATGGCAATCAGAACAGAAGAAACACACTTCAGAAATGCAAGCATGTCTCAAACTATCTAAACAAAAGTACAGCAGCAATCGGGGGAAACTGAATAGATCTTGCTGATGAAGTGGAAGGAGCTTGCTTTGTGATGACACTGACAGATTTTCTGGGGGTTTTTTAAAACAAAAAATCAAACTTTGTTTTTATATCCCTTTCTTTCATCTGTTCCACTAGAAGCACCTCACTATTGAGGAAACCAATTGCTTCCCTTTCCTGCCCTTTCCGTTCATCTCTTGCCTATTTTAACTATTCTGGTGCCTCTCAGCTCTTGCCTTTAGCAGCAGGTGGGAAGCAGATCTGTACACTGGCCTGTCGCCATCAATGATTAATGTGAATGCCGGAAACTTCAGCTTAGTCGCCAGTGCTGTGTCTGTTTATAAAAAGTCCCTGCCAGGACTTCTTCACCTTTGTTGCTGTGTGGGGGCTAAAACACACTTTTTAAATTTGATTTTTAATGGGATACCTTAATAAGAACTCCCAGTGGCAAATGGGGACAACTTCCGGTAACAGCGTCTACATCAGACCAACCCTCGGGTACACTGCTCCGGAAGTAGATATTCATGGTGAGTAGTTACCACAGGTTAATACAGACACTACACTTTACAATATATCTATGAAGGTCTTTCAGACATTCCCCCCTCCTCCCCACGTGTAAGATGCTATAACAAATTTAATGATTATGATTATTATTTATCAGCCTTGTATTTTCTGTTACAAGGAATACTGATTTGTGACTTAGAGTACTCACTAAGGATGTCCGGGGCGGGAGAGAGGGAGTAAATGGGAAACTTTTGAATTAAATTGATTTTCACTGTATTAGTTTGTGACCCGTGAGGTTTTCCTTTCTTTTTCTGAATGAAGATGGGACGATTGCTGGGGATCAAAAGAAAAAAGTAAGATTGATTTAGCTGCAGTGCAACCTCATATTGGATCAGGTGGTTGAGATAAGGCTTCCTTTGTACCTTTCTAAACTGTGGCTTTGCAATATGTTTTAGTGCATACAAAGATATGATGGCAGATCTGCCAGAGGTCAGTCAGTGTAGCGTTCAAGTTGAGCCTAAACATTTTGGCAATCCCTACTTGCCATCCAGTTCACTCAGAAGTTGATGTTTGAGGAGGATTGGTGGTATTGTGACCTTAGCAGTTTAATATTAAACTTCTGATGTAAGGTGCCAGATGTTGGTTAGTTATTTGCGAAGAGACACTGACTCATTGCAGCTCCCTGCCATCTGTTGGCTGAAAGTGGGGAAGCATTGGCTCAGCATGTTCTTCCCTCCCCACTTCCAGAACAAATAGTTGTCAGAGAGATTAGAAACATCACGGTGTGGGGGAGATCTTGAACATATATTAAACTTCCTGGTAGTAAGCCAAGTGGCCATTTTTTAGTGTCTTAAGGATTGGAGTATACTGGAGAAACACCAGTAGACTCCAGTGTCTTAGACCCTCATTCTTTTCAGAGAGTTGAAGTGTCATATCCAGAGAGATTTTCAACACGGGTAATATTTTGGTATGAAAGAGAGTAAGAGATTTAGTTTGTGACTTCTTTACAACGTATAAGGTTTTCATTACTTTCCTGTTTCTCTTCCAATGTTCTCTTGTGTTTTTTATGAGCTTGGTTTACTCCATGGGCACCAGCAGCATCTCTGGGAGGCAACTCAATTAATTGGCCATTCTCCTGGGTGGAGTCTGTATCGTGAGTGCTGCTGCTGACCATTGGAGGGAGGAAGTGGGCGGCACCTCAGCCAGCCCGATTATGTTCTTGTCTGGTATTTTCCAGAGGGGATTCACCGGATAGCAATCAGAAGCAAGAACCTTGAGAGATAGACCAGGAATGTCCTAAACTTGAAATCTGGTCAGTGGTGTCAGCTAATCCCATCTAGAAAAGAGTCCAATTATTCAGCGCCCCTGGGATAGGAAGGGGAAATAATCAGTCCACAGTCTGTCTCTAACAATATAGTGTTATCTATTGTACAGGGGCTGGCTTCATTGAGGTTCCGTTCTGAATCGGCCTTTTTTTTAGAAAAACAAAAACATGAAGTGAAGTTTTGACACGGTGATGACGTATTGATTTTATTTCTGTTTGTAGGTGTGAGGCCTGTGGAGCTGTCTTCCATGCTGAGTGTAAGTCTAAGGCCCTACCATGCCCTCGGTGTGTACACAGAGAGCTACAGAAAAGACCCCGATCTTTCTGGAGGAACCTGGACTTGGACGAGAACTTTGAGCTTTGCAACGCCTTTGAATTGGCCTATCCAAGCACCTGATGTGCAAGCCGGACTTAGCTCTCAGTCGACACGGAGCCTTCAGCTAACTTTTTCCAGATGGACAAAGAGACGGAGCTTATTATCGTCGCTACAAGCAAGAATAAGAACGTTTGCAAATTAGGAGATTTGAGCTTGGGGCACAAATGAAATGAGATTTGGCTTTGCCATGCTACAGAATAGTATGGCAATGGACTGAGCGGCTTCTTCCCTTGCAATGAGCGATTGTAGATTGTGTTTGACACCTCTTTTGGGAAGTGCAGTGTTTTCGAGATATTTTCAAATGCATAGGATAAGTGGTCTCCACTCTCCAATAGCTTAAGAGTATTGAGTGGCAGAAGTGCAAATTGGTCTGACCCTGATGCTTACAGGCTCCAGCACACTGCAAAATTTCTCCCTAACATGGCACCGGGCTGGTGCTACAAAAGCAACCTGACTCAGATACGACGCAAGGTAGCTGGTGATAAACATTGGAATTGTCCCAATGGATCAGTGCAGAATGGTTGGGAATTGAGGTGTATTTTTTTGGTCCAAAGCCTAATAAGCTTTAACTCGTGGATCTGACCTGTATTGTACCTGAATTGGGAGTGCTTAATGTGGACACCAGAGATGCATTAAGTGGATTTGTGCCCCAATCCACAACACTGACCTTGTTCACCCTCATGAGCACAAAATTTCTACCCCCCACCCCGCACCAAAAAAAGACCCACAGCCATCAATAATATGTGGCACACAACTCCTCACTTTCCAGTTTTTTTTCTCTTATCCACCACATTCATCTGGTGATAAGGTATTCTGTTTAACTGTGCTCATTTTCCCCAGTGCCTTGACTTCTAATCTAACGGTATTCACCTACCAAATCCAAATACAGTGACACATGCACAGTCACTACACTTTACAGTAAATTCTGTGAAGCGCTTTTTGATGTCATCTCGACGTGAAAGGAGCTACATCACATGCAAATTTCCCTTTCCCTGTTAAATTGATTCAAACCTGCAATTTTCTCCAGTTTTTCTCTCGCTGGAGTTACTCATATTTTCCTTCAGGGTACGGATGGGTTCGGGGAAGTGTTTTATTGCTCAGCCAGTAGGAAGAGCACTAACTTGTAAGCCTTTTGGTCAGGGGTGGACATGTCTACTTTGTGTATGTGTGCTTGCGTGTGTGCTCATGCTCACAATCTCTTAACGTCTTCACAGGCATCTGCAGCTTATTCTCCTGCCACTCCAGAATATCTCCAGATTTCGGTGTGAACTCGTATTGGTGTATAGATTCTCGCACTGCAGTATTACTGTTTTCATCTCTCTGATCCCTGCCAGGTTCAGAGGCTTCAGTTAACGCACAAGCTTCCTTAAGTAACAGTCAGAGTAGAACGCAGTTATTCCAGCTAAGCAGGTAAAAATGTTTAATGGTGAAGGTCCAGCAGGGAAGTGTTGGCGCACTGGCAGAACATGCCATGGAGTCCTAGGGCACAAATTCTTCTCAAGCATGAGAGTGGGTTCAATTCCAGGCGTCACTGGTGCACAGAGCAACAGAAGTGAAAGCCTACAAGCAAATTCTCACTTTCTCAGCAATAGGATGCCTCATAGCACGCCTCATAGCACTGAGGCAATGCACAGGAGTGTGGGGAGGGAAGCACAGCTTCATGGCAAGGGGTTTTGCATAGAACCATGTTGGAGGGGGGATGAGGGTTTGCTGCATGCAACTGCAGCTACTTAGCAAAGAGACTTTAAACTCACCGAGGATTTCAGACATGAGTTAAGAATAGAGCAATAATGAAATCTGTGTGTAGATATTTCTGCAGAACGAGCACTGAAAGCTCACTGCCCTGGATGTATGGCTGGACCTTTGAGCTGCACATCGGTGAGAGTGGGATTGTAGAAGAAGCACAATTGTGACAGTGGGAGGAGAAGAATATACAGTGATCGAATGTAGGACACAGCCGTGTGCTGATAGTAGGAATTCCAGGGGATATTCCACGCAACAGTTGGATTTAAAAAGGGAATTACAGAAAGTCCATTTACCCGCTGGAACATTCAGATTAAAAAGGGAGAAGGGTAATCTAAGGATCAGTGTTTTTCGCTTGACTATTAAACACCCCACTTTATGCAGCTGCAGCTTTGGTTGTTGAAAGCTGTTAAAAATGATCTGCAGCTAACACTACCTGACCTGCTACAGCTCTTTGCAGTCTCACTGACTTTTAAGTGCTCCCCGTTACTAAACGGTACATGTTATTCCCGTACAAGAGTTGCTTTTCTCAGGTTAAAGGTCAATCGGGAAACAAATTGGTGTTAGGAAGGTTACATTTTAAATGTGTTTATTTTATTTTAGACAAATGTTCTTCACAACAAGAAGGAAGTATGTTTTTATAGAATTTTCACAGCCCTGAGCCCGAGGTTACAGAACCAGTTATTCTAAAACAAATACTATAACAAATAGTTATTCTAAAACAAGCCCCCCGTGCTCGTGGCTGGAAAATTGCTGGTGCAGTCCCGGTAGCTGGTGTATGTGGTAATTGCAGGTGAGTTAATCGGGCCACTTGGGTTCATTACAAGAGCCACCCCAGTTGCTTTCCTGTACACTCCACAGCTGGCCGGACAGAGCATCATGATGTCAGACAGAAAGCATGCTGGAGCAACATTGAGCCCATGATTAACCCTTTATTAGGTTTTTCAATGACAGGTGGCAAACCGTGAAGCCAATGCATCGTTTGTCTATATTTTTTCTGCAAAGCGAAAGTCAGGAAAGTTGGCAAGTCCCGACCAAATCAGATCGCAGGGAAAACATAAGAAATGACCTTTACGTATGTTTACAAAATGGTAACCTGGGTGTCTTCAGTACATTAAGACTGTAACGCCGTGGTCTGAAATGAGAAGGGAAGAGATGTAACTTATTTACAGGACCCCTGTGTGAGGCACAGCTCCCACATTAACTAATTGCTGCTATGTCACTAATACACAACTTTACCAAGCGCACAGCTTCACCCATTACACGCAATAGGATTGTCTGTACACACAGAAATAAGGGACCCTCTCTCTCCCCTACCTTGCTATGAAGTACACAGATCTGTGGCAGCTGCATCAATGCCAAACTTTGAGGAATTGTTACCTTTCAGTTGATCTGTAAAGCTGCCAATTATACCCTTTCAGCTTGATGTTCACTGCTTTTATTTCAGTGTGTGTGTGTATAACTATGAGATATATATTTGTGGGAGTAATTTTCCTGCCTTACATTGCTGTATAGAGTCCTTAAAAAAAAATAAAGATATTTAACTCTATTGCAACACCATGTTGTGTGCTCTGCTACAATCTGCTTTAAAGATACCATACCTCAGTGGGCTGATGTATTGCATGTGTATTGTGATGCTGAGCAGTATAGGCCAGGAAGATCCTAGGTCTATGCTGAATTGGTTGATGTGACCTAGGATGCAATGGAGGGAATCAAAGTTGGCCTCAATACTCATCCACTAGGGAGAAGTTCCCACACTTACATCTATCCAGGGGCCCATGAAAGGGGTTGAGGACAGCATCAATCTCAGCTGTGTTAGCTTCTTCCCCTCTGTGTCACTCCCCATGTAAACACACCTCACTGAATAGCCTTGTAACACTCACTGTGCAGTTGTTGTCGTCGTCGTTGCAATTTTGAGAATGGCAAGTTGGGTAAGTGCAGCAAGCCCTCTTGAAACAAGCAAGCAAGTAAATCATTGAAGAGGAAGAAAAGGTGAGAGAAACATGATTGGAGCTGTGGTTGCAGGTTTACACTCGGTGAGCACAGAACTTTTCAGTTCATTCACTGCTGGGACGATGCTCAGTATCACAGTAGGTTGGCAGGTCTGCCCGCTATTTGGAAAAATTCAACANTTTTTGCCTGAATGAGCCCAATTCTAACTCAACAGTAACTGCTGTGATGACATTTACCAAACAAATGTTTTCGTTGACCTGGGGCACCGTCTACACAGAGTCAGCCCAAGGCAATGTGTTGTAAGTGCAGCAAGTTGGCTGCTTTTTCTGACATTTATAGTGGTATTTCTAAACAGGCAAGTTGACCACTTAGACCAGTTCATACAAGAACTGAAAAAAAAACGTGTTTCTATAGCATCTGATCACATTTGGAATGACTCAAACTGCTTCATAAGTTAATGTCTCTTCGTAGACAAAAACAACAGCCTTGAAGGGAATGACTGGCAAATATGGAGCATTGGCGGCTCAGACAGTAGGAGAAACTTCCTTCTCTTTCGAAAGAAAGCTATGAGATGTTTAACATCTAGTTCAATGAGCAGGTGGGATCCTGATCTCATCTGAAAGATCGTACATCTAACAATGCAACATTCCCCAACACAGCACTGGCCTGTCAGCCCGGTAAGTGAGCTCAAGTCCCTCTGCGATTGAAGGAGTGAAAGATAATTACAGAGGGACTCTGTCTACAATTTCTATGTATTAGATTTAGATGATATTCCTTGTATTTGACATTGTGCCTTTCACATTGGTAGAACATTTCAGCGCCTCACAGGATATACTGTAAAGTGTGGTGACTGAATAATTTGTAAGTGAGAAATGTGCATTTGACTGCCTCCTTGCTTCATCACACACAAAAAACACACACTGCTTCCATTTGTTTCACCATGTTGTAGGTGAATGTAGCAGCCAATTTCACACAGCAATGGCTCACAAACAGCCATGAAGTGAATAACCATTTTTTGTGGAGGATTGCTTGCCAGGACACTGGGAGAAACTGCCTTCTCTTTACCATGAGAGTTTTAATGCCCATCTGAACAGAAAGATGAGACCTCAGTTTAACTTCTCATCCGAAGGACGGCACCTCCAACAAAGCAACGCTCCCCCAGCACTGCATTGAAGTGACAATCTAGACTATATATAAGAGTTCAATGTCCTGACGTGGCTTGAACACACAACCTTCTGACTCAGAGAGGCGAGAATGCTACCGACTGAGCCAGGCTGACACAGGTCGGCAAAGGCACCTTGCCACAATATCAGTAGAGATAACCTTCTGCATAAACAAAAAAAAAGCCTGTTCGCAGTGTGAGGGAGGGTAAGGGATAAATAAATAGAAAAATAAAAAGCCTTGCTTCCTCTGGGATACCTTTCAACCCATTTGGCTTTATTGATGTAGTAACATTCAGATTTTCACTTTGATGAAAGGCAGCGTTTCAATCTGCCTGCACTTCTGTAGGTTTGCCTGCCTCCCCCCACCCTAACCGACCAACCCACCTCCGCCTCCTTTTCCCAGGAGTAGGAACACATTACTGCTGCCACACATTGCAGCCACCCGGGGCTCAGAGCTTGGCAACGCTTCACTCTACCGTTTAATTTGTGGGACTTTTAAACGGTAACCAATTTGCTGTGTTGTCGTCTAAATCCATTTGCCGGGGTGATTTTATTGAGGATCTCGCAAATTAAATATGAGTGGTCTTAGTGCCTAATTGTCGATGCCAATTAGTGCATTGTCGGGCCGCACAATAGCATCACTGTAGCAAGCGCAATGGGAGCCTTTGTGCTTCCCCAATGGGCCGCGGGCAGTCAAGATTCATTTGGGGGAGCTCCCGGAACATGGACAGAAAATGCCATCAGGAAAGAAAAGCAGCTGGGATTCAGTGCAAGGTGCAGGCCTGTGAAAGCCTGGAGTGGCAGCTTTGCATTGAAGCTCCCCATCGCTGCACAAAGGAAACTCAGGAGCTTAGATATAATTAGTGGATTCAGCTGTGGAAAGAACACTGTGTGCCTCATTCCAACGGAACTTTATTTTCAAAAGGTACTTGCATTAAACTTTAAAAGAGACACAAATCCTGCCCTTTTTTTTATCCCAGGACTGTGTGGTTGCAAAACTACCAAGCAAATGTTTTTTTTTAAAAAAACTTACATGGCTGGTTCCCATCATAAATAAACCCTCTTATATTGTACACAGAAATTAGTATTGCGTATTTTTCAAAGGGATATTTGGAAGCAAATGATAACTTGAACGATTGTGATGCATACAAAGCTATGCAAGATTTCACAAGCTGTTCTGTAATTCCAATTACAGCAATGGTCAAGTACCTCAATGGATTCTCATCTTAAGAGCGCACAGTCCCACTGTTCCTGTGTAAATGCTCGTCGTGGCCTTCAATGTGCTATTCGCATGCCAGTTCCCAGTCACTACACATTGCAGTAAATCATGATGCAGTGGTTAGCGCGCTCGCCTCACAAGCGAGAGGACCCAGGTTCCATTCCCGGACGAGCTAACTTACTGCCTGCCAAAAATAGTCAGGGTCTGTGTCACAGCGGACACCCAGTGCTGGCAGCAAGGAACCTATTCATGCGTTAACATTTCTTGTTGGTGGAATCAAGTAAAGATTTGTTAAGCTTCTACTTTCTTCCCTCCCCTTTTTTTCTCTCCCTCCTCTGCTGAAAGTACTGACTTATTAAGCTCAGGTGTAGTTACCCTTTGTTTGTGTCAGTAACCCTTTGGGACTCTGTACACGTTGCCATTCTTAATGCACGAGTCCAGCTAGCCAGCATAAGGAAGCTCTCTGACTTTGGGTGAGGATTGGAGAGGGGTATCACAACTGAGCCTAAGATCCTGTACTCACCTGAGGAACATATAGACATGCTAATAGCCAGAGGTCACTGGATAGACTGATCAGGGGAGACAACCTGCCTAAACGTTTCCCTCAACTCTTCCTAGCCTAAGAAACCTGCAGACAATTGTTATCAAATTGTTCTGGTGAAAAAAATGCTGACTCAGCACACTACAACGCAGCAAGGGAGCATCCTGGTGCCTCTGTACCGCAGAAACCTAATTGGACAGCCTGGTGTCTCTTGGTTGCAGTAACGTCATCAGGCCAGTCCAGTGTTTATGAATTGAAAAGATCCACTACAAAGCGAAAGGATTAAGTTGAATTACACATTTATGGCTACAGTATTTAACTGCATATACAGCATGTCAGCCCTGGCTCAATGGTAGCACTCTCGCCTGAGTCACAAGGTAGTGGTTACTTGGACTCACCTAGCCTAAGCTGACCTTCCAATGCAGGCCGGGAGGGTGGGGGTGTTGCATGTCGGAGGTGCCATCTTTTGTATTAGGCTTTAAACCGAGGTCTCATCTGCCTGTTCAGGTGGACATTGAAGATCCTGTGGTACTATTCATAAAGGGAAGGAAGTTCCTCCCAGTGTCCTGACCAGCAATCGCTCAAATAAAATTGGTCATTCACTTCATGACTCTATGTGGGACATTGCTGTGCATAAATTGCCTGCTGGGTTTGCCCACAAAATACACAGTCAATCCACCTCACAGTAAATCCTGTGAAGCACTTTGAGACGTCTTCCCAATGTAAAAGGTGCTATATCAAATGCAAGGATTATTATTATTATTTAATATCTTACTGTTTGGCTGGAAACAACTGCCTGGAGATAAATCTGCGTCAAACATACCCAAAAGTTCCAGGTTGACATTCTGTGCTGTTAGCTGGTCTCAGTTCAATAAGATGTTGGCGTGTTACATTTAGCCTCATTGCCCTTGGTCTAGGGAGGGGACCAAATAGCGAGTGTTACCATCCCCTAGCCAGTGCCTTTGTTGGGAAGTGTGGACATCAGGTGAGGCAGATGTTGTCAAACTCAGTACAGACTGGGAACTTGGGACTTTCTGGTCAATGTGACTTGATGCTGCACTGAGTGAGGCTTTACAACAACAATAACTATTACTACTACTTCCACTTATATAGCGCCCTCCATGCAGGTTAGCAACTCAGATAACTTAACAGTGGCGGAGCCTGACTCCGAGCCGGTGAGGACCATAAGCACGGTCGAAGAGGAAGGTTTTCAGGCGGGACATGAAAAGGGGGAGAGAAGGAGCAAGGCGGAGGGACTGAGGGAGAGCGTTCCAGAGTTTTGGGGCATAGTGGCTGAAAGCGTAACCTCCAATGGTTGGGTGGAGGGTGCGAGGGACGAGCAGGAGGCCAGTGCCAGTCAAGCGGAGGCACCGGGTGGTGGATGGGGAATGAAGAGGTCGGAAAGGTAGGGAGGTACAAAGAATGAAGGGATTTGAACATGAGTGTGAGGATCTTGAAGTTGATCTGTTCGGTTATGGAGAACCAGTGGAGCCTGGCCAGAATTGGTGAGATGTGGGTACGGAGTTGGGTCTGGTTCAGTATGCGGGTGGCAGAGTTCTGAATGAACTGGATCTTTGAATAGTGGAGCTGGGGAAACCAGCGAGGAACGTTTGAGTAATCCAGGCGGGAGGTGACAACACTTGCATGAGGGGTTCAGCTGCATTTGGGGTAAGGTACGG